TTTTAAGGGGGAAATCTCCCTCATTACTACATACACATTACTGTAAATTACTAGGGCTTATTTATTTTTCTTTGGATTTACCATTTCCTGGTATTTTATAGTCCATTTACTGTCTCCATTGCTAGATTATAAAGTCTGTAAATGCTGCTCCTTCGCCTGTTTTGCTCACTGGCGTATCCTCAGTACGTCATAGTGTCTTGCAGTGACAGTGTTTTAAGATATATCTGGAGGAGTTAATTACCCAGACACAAGATTTCAACCAAGTTCTGAGAGAGCCACAGCACATTTCCATTTCTCTTCCTCTAATTAGGACTCACTGTTGGTAACCTGGATATTATATCCTCATGGAATAACAGGAAAGAACTAAAGGAGATAAAGGAGAAGGCAAACACCCCACTCGCAGGACAGTAGGAAGGAATGAAGGACACAGCAAAAGTCACATGTCTCAATTCAGCAGGTCACCAAGGACCCAGGATCTTTAAATGGCAGACTCATTTAGGTAATAAGCCTGTGGACAAATATAAGGATTCATCTCCAAAATATTCCAAAAAGATCTCACCTCCTCTCACTTCCTATACTGTCCACCATCTAGACTGAGGTTCTCATCTTGGTTTTTCCTCTGTTTGTTCCAGGAATAATTTCCCTTTTTTGCTTTGTCCCTTTATAAGTTACTAAGTCTCTATGATCCTAAATGAAAACAGTTTGGAGCAACAACTGGCTCTTTAGAACTGTTTCCCTTCAATGACAAAATATACTTTGATTAGCTCACTAGCTCATTTACTCACTCTCCAAATCTATATATAATTAGGGTTTCCCCTATGTACTGAACTTTTATAAAATCATGGAAACCAGCACTCTCCAAAATAATTTTCTGGTATAATGGAAATGATAGAGATTTCTCATTGTCTCACCATTTTGCTCGGTGTCGGTGCTGTCCACTTCTATAGTCACTAGTCATGTATGACTGTTCAGCACTTGAAATGTGGTTAGTGCAGGCTAAGGAACTGATTTTCATCATATTGGTCTTCAGTTTTTTTTTTACATTAAAATTTAAGTAAAGGCACTAAAAATTGAAAATGTACAATTTTGTGTGGAGATGAGAAGATGTTTTAAAAATACCTTATGTTCTATGGTACTTAATTACCATTAATAAGAGTCCTTCCCCAGTCCCCCCAAATAATATACTCATTCAATAATAAATTGTCATATTCCCTTGAACCAATTACTTCAAGTCCATTTCACATAAAACAGATACTTACATCCTCTCACTTTTTTAGAACACTGGTCAGTGATGACCTGTGACTCTTTGAGGAAGGATTCTTGACTGAATGAAATTTCTGGTGTTTCTTGAGGACTGACTTCCCCTGAAATGATTTCCCTCACTCACTGCATCCATAGGTTCTCTCTCCCTTAAGAGTTTTCTGATGTGTAACTAGCTGTGCTTTCCAAATAAAGCTGAAACGTAGAGTCACCACTTAAAAGACAACTGGACTAACTCAATGCACTCACCGCATCACAGGCTTTTCCTGTTTTGATAACCAGTATATCCTCAGCTCATGGAAAAGAACCAAGTGCAAAGTATCTGACAAATACTAAACAAATGAGTTGACATAATCCAGTGCTATTTCATAAGTTCCTCTGCATAATACAATCTTCTACAAGTTTATGGCAGGCATCCCAGTTTCCAATTAATCTGTCACCTGGACCTGGGGAAACTGAAATAATTTATACATATCCCATATGGTACCAATCGGGTATTAGCCCATTCCTGGTTTTTTGATCAGAGCAACACTCCAGATACAACATATTTTATATATTGTAAAAATTCACTTATTTCCTCCAGTTAATTGAACTCCAGGTTCCTTAATTTTATTGACACAATAAATTGATGTAACTGTTAAGAGTTAACAGATTGTGCCTCTCTTTCAATGCATATATTTAATGGAATGAGGATTTACATAATCTCTTAGTATATGCTTTTCGCCCATAATATGAGCTACACATTTTTGCTTTAATCCTTTTCCACACAGAATGTCTCTTGAATTTTTCCCTACTTCTTTGAGACATAGAAGATGTAATTGATCATTGAAGGCACAACCACACTCACTGCCGTTCATTAGGTGTCTGTCTTGGCCAGATCCTCCTGAGAGTGCCCATTTGGCATGGCTGCATTCCTACTTGCTGGAAGCCCACTCATGTTTAGTGCTGGCTGAGGGACAACAGAAGGTACTTGCAGAGTCACCACATTAACAAGATTTTTCTTTTTTGGAACGCTGGTCAGTGATGACCTGTGACTCTCTGAGGAAGGATTCTTGACTGAATGAAGTTTCCCCTTATGAGTTTTCTGATGTGTAACTAGTTGTGCTTTCCAAATAAAGGCCTCCCCACATTCACTGCATTTAAAGGGTTTATCTCCTGTGTGAATTCTTTGATGTTTAATGAGGCTTGATTTCCGGGAATAGGGTTTTCCACATTCACTGCACAAAAAGGGAGTCTTTCCTGTGTGAAATCTCTGATGTGCAATGAGGTATGCCTTCTGGTTGAAGCCTTTCCCACATTCATTGCATACATAAGGTTTCTCACTTGTATGAATCCTCAGATGTACCATGAGATGTCCCTTCTGGATGAAGGTTTTTCCACATTCATTGCATAAAAAAGGTTTCTCACCTGTATGAATCCTCATATGTACCATGAGACTTCCCTTCTGGCTGAAGCCTTTTCCACATTCACTGCACACGAATGATTTCTCCCCTGTATGTATTTTCTGATGTACACTGAGCTGTGATTTCTTGATGAAGGCTTTTCCACATTCAGTGCATTCAAGAGGTTTCCCTCCTGTATGTGTTTTCAGGTGTTCAGTGAGCCAAGACTTCTTGATGAAGGGTTTCCGACATTCAGTGCATACGTGAATCTTCACTATTTTTTGAGACTTCTTATGTTTGATGACTCCATACTGAGTGCTAGGTTTTTGGCTTTCAGAAAATTGAATTTCATGCTTAACATGGAGAAAGGATTTCCCATCTCCCATAAGCTCAACAGGATTATTTATTTCATAGCTTCTGCTCTGGTTAAGTAAAGTTAAATCTGATTTTATACTTTTTCCATGGGAGTCAAACATACCATGACTTTGCCTTAACACAGAGTGACTTCTATCCTGATGAACAAAATCTTTAAAGGTGTTATGTTTGGGCCACTGTACAAGGCTATTCTCCGTACTTCCTTTTTGTAGGTGTTCTGGTAGAAGATCATCAACTTTCCACATATCTAGGAAAGAAAACAATGGATCCTCCCATCACTTTGATTTGGAATAAAGACATTTAAAAAAAAAAACCTTGATGCCAGGTGTCTTTTTCGTGATGACCCTGTGTGATACAATGAGTTATAAGAAACAAATATATTTGGTCATATGTATTTTCCAGGTATTTTGGTCTTCATCCAAGGTTCCTGAAAACACTGCAGTCATAAAGGTAAAATGGGTGTTCTGTCATGTTAATGAGATTTTTGGACGCCCAAACAAGGGCGGGGGCTGGAGGCTGGATCAGCCAGTGGCCAATAGTTTAGTCAATCACAACTATGCAACGAAACCCTTATAAAAACCTCTGAGAAGAGCCTTGTCCTCTCTGTTCTGCGCTTTGCCTGCTCTGCTCGGTTGGGTCCTGCTTCTTGGTTAGAGAGCTGCTATGCCTGGGGAACCAGATAGCCTCCAAGTGCCACTGAGGCAGGCCCCACGCTCAACAAGGACAGAAGCTCCTTTATTTGACACCTTGCTCTATGTCTCTCTTCATGGGGCTGTTAACTTGTATCCTTTATTAAACTGGTAAATGTGTGTTTTCCTGAGTTCTGTAAGCCACTCAAGCAAATTAATCAAATTTAAGGGGAGGTGGTCATGGGAACCTCCAATCTGTAGCCAGCAGGTCATAAGCATAGGGAACTGCCTGGGGCTTGTGAGCAGCATCTGGAGTTGGGGATGCAGGGCAGTCTTGTAGGATGGAGCCCTTAACCTGGGAATCTGGTGCCGTCTCTAGGCAAACTGCATCAGAACTGAGTTGAGTTCTCAGACACCCTTTTGGTGTTCGAGAATTGCTTGGTCTAAGTATGTGTGGGAAGACCCCTTCCCACATATTTAAACACATTGAAAATTGGTCCACGTACCCAAATGAAATTGCACTACTGCTACTGTTACGTATGATATTGTTACTGTTATACATATACACAGAGAAGAAATACACATCTCATTTGGTGTTAGAGATAATTGCACTCTATCACGAATGTAAACATAATGTTTCTTATACAGTGCAAAAAACAGCAATGAATAAACACACATTTGGCTATTTTCTAAATACTGGCTTTACAGAACAAGTAGCAACTGTCAAATACAAGCAATTTACTGTGAGCAGTGGGCCACAGGTGGGAGAGACCTCATCCAAAGTAGAGAGGGAGACTCACTCATGCCACCAATCCTTACTGATGAGTACTGTGTTTCTAGAATGGGCCATGTTGGAGATACACAAGCATACTCTTCATGCACTGCCGACTGGGGAAACCACTTAAAGGGAAGAGACAGTGACGAGGGAAACAGGCTGTAAAAATTAGTCGGAAGGTGCAATGGACATGGAGACAGGTAGAATCAGGTCACGTTTTGGAAAAAGCCAGCCCTCACAGGTGGACTCATGGTGGTGGTCTGCACTGGGGGGAGCAACAATGACAAAACAGAGGGCTCCAAGCATATCTAACTTACAGTCTACCCCTCAGAGAGGTGTTCCCATTGCTAAAAAGGAGTCACCACCCAGCACTTACTGTGTCATTGTGCTGACTTCATTTTATCACTGCACTTTTTACCCTCCACATATTATTTCTTTTTCATTTTGATTTTTATATCACCTCTTAGAATGAAAGCCCTTGGTTGACATTGATAGAGAGACCACTGATATGCTGTCATTTCGGTTGCCCTCCAGCAGATACCAGGCTATCAAAAAATATAAAGGAATGAATCAAGAAGCAATCATATGCACAGAACACACTGGGGAGTTTAGAAAAAAAATGGAAATTTCTGTTAGTAGGATAAACTATGTGTCAGATATCACTGAAAGGAGAATTTTACGTCATATGACAAATAATGTGGTTAACTGGGACTTAATGTCATCAGAATATGATGGGACAAAAACGAAGATTTCAAGTACTGCCTGGATGGCCACGACGGAGACGCACAGGAGAAAAGGGACCCAAACGCACACGGGTGTTCTTGGAGGGAAGGTGATTCTGGGTCCTGCGATCGCTGGAAACTCAGAGACACCGGGGAGGTGAGTAAACGACACAGAACTAACGCCTGTGGATCGCATGAGACGCCGATTCGAGAGTCCTCACCGGGGACTGGATCAGCCTATTTGGAGAAAGCTTTGAGGGGCTGGGTCACATGACAGATGGAAAAGAGAACCTTTGGGGAACCTGAGAGCGGGGAGAAAGGCACAGAGGAGACCGGTCCACTTTGGGGGCCCAGCTTCCAGGACGGGGCGGATGTCAGGCCAGGGAATCCACATCCCAGTGGGCAGGAAGCGGCCTGACGACAGCGAGGAACTCGGTCTCCTCTTCGGAGAGAGGCCGTGGGCGGTGGGATTTCACAGCGAGGGAGGCGGAGGAGGAAGAGGAAGGGGAGACTCGAGACCCTGGAAGAGGCCGACTATGCAAACACAGATCTAGACGTAGGTAAAATGAAGATCAAACCGCAGACGAGAGAAAGGGGCGTATTTTTCTTCCGACTCCTACAAGAGCTCTCCCGTGGGAGAGAGCTGCAGCAGGCAGTGCTCCGGAGCCTCAGACCCCCACACGGTCGTGACCCTTCGCCGGGCGATGAGCACGCGGGCCCGCAGCCTGCCCCCTGTGCGGGTCGCCTCACCCACCTGGACGGGCCCCACCTCGGATCCCGTCTTCCCCGGCCCTCGGCGGTTCCCCCGGCTCCAGCCTGGGGAGGGCGTTCGGGCTCTTCGGTGGACCGCCTGCCGTGGGAGACGACGCAAGACTCAGACCCACGGAATGAGGCGCGGGGTCAGTGAAGACCACAGAATGTGACATGCAAGGACAAAATGACTTCCACACCTAAAAGTAAAGGTTTTTCTCTCAGGAAGGGGATATGACACCCTCTACTCCAGGACCCGAGTGGGGCTGAGAATCAACCACTTCAGAGAACCTAGGACACACCAGAACGTTCAGAAGCTGAGAGAGGTGAGGTCACGATGGGCAAGCACCCTCTGGGCGACACAGGGGCGCCGTCCTCACCCACTGACACCAGGTTCCTGTAGTTCTCCAGCATCACGTCCCGGTACAGGTCCTTCTGAGCGGGGGCCAGGAGCTGCCACTCCTCCTGGCTGAAGTCCACGGCCACGTCGTCAAATGTCAGGGATTCCTGTCATAACACAGTGCTGTTTAATGAAGTCATGTTTTCAATGATATGGAAGAAATGTAAAGGTTTTTCTGCTTATATCTACTCTATAGGCTACAGCTAGATATCTAGTGGGGTTATTTTCATATGTTGTTGAAGCAAATGTCTAATAAAATATTCTGCAATTATGCATTCACTCATCAATCCACTTCCCTATTAGGACTTTCTATAATGTGCACAAGTTAGACTTTCTTGTTAACCTAGAAACACCACACTCATGTGTGTGTGACAGACAGAAGACATAGGTACGTGTACTTCTGAGATGAATGGGCCTGGTTTCCTACAGGCCTCTCCAAGTCCCCGAGGAAACAAGGGCGGGACTGAAATGAGCCCGAAGTCACCTGGGCCTGGATCATCTCTCCTGCCTCTCAGCAGCTGGCAAGGGGGCTCTTCGTGGTCTGGATCTGCTCAGCTCTCCGCTCAGCGATCTCAGGCTTCCGTCACGTGTATCAGCAGAAATGCTGGTACCGGATCCTGTCACTTCTTCCTCCTTCACAGGGTTCTCCTGCTCCTGGGGACTCAACTCAGGACCTGTGCGTCAAGGAGAAAGTGAATTTGAGGGGTACAGTCCTCTGTGCCCAGGCGCTGTCACGGCTCCTGGGCACTCACCTGGACACAGTGGCGGCAGTATTGCCGAGTGTCCCTTTATTTGGGGTCCCCAGAGGACCTTACCCTTCTGGCCAAGAAAGCCTTAGCCTCTGAGTGTGGTGGAGGTGAAGTTAAAGTGGGGTGACTGTCAAAGGAGAAGGGGGAAGTGAGATCCAGCCTGGCCCCCCGGCCCCTAGAGCAGGGGACCTGCAGACAGATAAGTTATAGACAGACCCTGGGGAGGAGAGGGTCTGGGCACAGCTTTCCTTAAACCATGTGAGCTCAGGTACCTCTTCAAACGTTCCGTACACCCCAGAAGGACTCACACTTCAGTGTGAATACCAATGTACTGGGCAAAACAGAAGCACTCTTTTCAGCAATAATGAGAACACCTTAGGTGGTTTTAAATAGATGAAGAATTAAAATACATGATAACAGTAAACAATTAGAAGGTGGAAAACGAAGCCTAAGCTGCTTTTAATGTTGGAGAAGAATGTGAAGGAACTAATAAGCATAAAAATTTGAGAAAGAAAGGGTCCATGCTGTATGTCATCTCTAGTGTCATGATGAAACCATTGATTTTCTTAAAGCACATAATTTGCAGTACTACCAGAAGAGGGAAATGTTAAAAAAAATAAAAAATTCATCCAAAAGAAGGTCTCTAATACCAATTTAAACATTGTGTGTGTGTTTATGTTTCACACACCACAATGCAGTTTTGCAACACCACCTTCGTGTCTTACAATTCAACTCAATTCTGACACTGTCTACTCAGAGAAAGGTCAGATCTCAGAGGCTAACAGCTCAGTCCTACAAGACTGCCCCCTCCTTCTACTTCAGACACAAACACAAGTCCACACTGTCACCTGTTTCTGACCAGATAGGAGGTTCCAACCATTCTCTCCTTGGGTTGATTGATTTGCCAGAGCAGCTCACAGAACTCAGAGAAACATTTTACTTACTATATTTGTTTATTATAAAAGGGTATGAGGAGGAACAAGCAGAAGAAAGAGATGACCAGGACAGGATGTGTGGGAAAGGGTGAGGAGTCTCCACACCCTCGGCAGGTGTGCACTCTCTCTGCATCTTCCTGTGCTCACCAGCCCGGAAGGCAATTCACTCTGAATTTTACATCCATCAAGTCCTCCGAAAATAAGGGCATATTGGAACCAGAAGACATGACAAGAATTTTTATAGCAGCATTATTCATGATAAACCAAAATGCAAACATTACTAATTGAATAAATAGGAGAAAAATCGCCATATACTCAAATGGATAGCTATGCAGACAGTACAGTATTTGGCCAACTTGAAAGCTAAGAATTCTTTTTATATTCTTCAAGGACTGTAAAACAAAAATGAGCATATATGAGAGACCTGTGGCTTGCAAATTCTGAAAAGGTTACTGTGTGTATATCTATATAATACAGTTGCCTGGCCCTTCTTACAGAGCAAAAGGAAAAAAGAAAAAATTCACCTATGTGGAAAAACATGATTCTCATAAATATTGAGCAAAAGAAGCCTGACATTTAAAAAATGCTTGACGCATGATGACGTATAATAAAATAAATAATGTTAGGAATAAGTACTTGTATTATCAAACTATAAAGAAAATACTGCAAGTGCTTGCTATACAGACAGACGGTAATGACCCCCGGGTGTGAGGATGTAATATAATTGGAAACAGGCTCTCCGAACACCACTGGGGTGTTGGCAATGTTGTGTCTCTTAATATGGGCAATGTCTTTTATATTGATTAACTTGCAAATCTTTTAAATTAGCAAAGAAATGGGAGTGTTCAGAAACACCAAAGGCTTGTTACCTGAAGAGAAAAACAATAAAATACATATCACAGTATGTATAGGGTCAAAAGACAAAATTCAAATAAAGAATATAAGGAATAAATGAGAGATATGACTCAGATACATTATGCATATATATTTTTGTCTAAAAGATAAAATGAATATCTTAACATCATTAAATTGGAAATCCTAGATTAACCCTCCAGGAAACATGTTAACTCCAGAGATTATAGCAGATGAAGTTTGTGGGTAGGCAACACAATAAAATGTCCACTTTCTCACCACTTTTCAACTTCACATTGTGGAGCTGACCCAATGCATTGAGATAAGAATGTTATAAACATTCGAAGGCAGGACAGAAAATTAAGATTATCTTCATTATTATCAGCATTGAAAAAGAGATGCAAAAAAAGACATTTAAAAAGGATCATGCTCCCCCAGAAATTCCCAGCAGATTTTCACGTATATAGCCAGCTAGAACTGTCATATACCTAAGAACATTTTGTAGTAATTCAATCATTAGCAGTAAGAACTGGAACCAGCACGATTGGCTAAGACCAACCAGGACTTACTAATCAACTGAGATCACCACCTTGTGTGTCTTTATTTCTACACAACAATAATATATAGCAGTAATAGTGTAACTCTTTTCAGGTTTCTGGACCCAATTCAAATGTGTGTGTTGCAGAAGGGAGTCTTCCCACACACAACCAAGGAATTCTCAAACACCAGCAGGATGTAGGAGAACACAACTCAATTCTCACATCTGCCTGGAAACAGCATCAGATTCCCCACGTTAAGGGCTCGGTCCTACAAGACTGCTCCCCTACCCCCAACTCCAGTCACAAATTGCAAGAAGTTCCCTGTGCTTCTGACCAACTGGCTACAGATTGGAGGTTCCTATGACCTCCCACTTAGGTTCAATTAATTTGCTAGATCGGCTCACAAAGTTCAGGAAGATACTTAGGTTTACCAGTTTAATAAAGGATACAGCTAAACGAAGAGATACATATAGGGCAAAGTCCCAAATAAAGGAGCTTCTCTCACCGTGGAGCTTGGGGCCTGGCTCAGTGGCACAGGCAGGCTTTCTGGTTCCCCAAGCATGGAAGCTCTCTCCACCAGAGAAGCAGGATCCCAGAAGTGATATGCTCCTCCAAATGATTTTTGTGAGGGTTTCACTGAATAGTCCTGATTGACCAAATCACTGGTCACTGGCTGATTCAACCTCCAGCCCCTCCCTGCCTCTGGGTCTGTCATTAACCTGACAAGGTACCCATTGCACCTTTAAGGTTCTGCAGTGTTTTCAGGAACTGTGGAAGAAGACTATATATATGCCTGGGAAATAAATATTTGGTCACATTATTGACCAAATATGTATTTTTTGTGACTCATTACATTGCACTTGCCAGAGGGATGGGTACTTAATAGACTGCTAGAAAAAAAAATGTGTGACTGTATGTCAGGCAAATAAGCAACAGTGTCTACTGTTACCTATTAAGAGGCCAGTGCGGGCAGTTGGCAAACATTTTCTACAAAGACACAGAAATACATTTTCAACGTTAAGGGCCAAAATTATCTCTGTCACAAGGACTCAAAATTCTTTGCAGGGCAATGACTGCCACAGATGATACATAACAAACGGGCGTTGCTGGGTTAGTCCCTCAGTCTACAGTTAGTCAAGACCTTAGTAAAAGGCTGAAAAATAAATGCTTTCCAATTGCTGCCCTGGGCCTCTCGCCTCTGTTCCAGCAGCCGAGGTTGGAACCTCAACCCAATCACCAGCCAGGGGTCCCACGGGTCTGTCCCAGACGGATCGATCACACAGGCTATTAACCCGAAGGCCAGACACCCCGCGACGACTCCCGCACCCCCAGCCCCACCACCGAGCTGCACATTAAACCCCCCAGCCAGAACCAGACACTGCGATCGTCGCAAATACCACCTGCACCACCTGCAAGCGGAGGGACCTGACACCCCAAACACAGTGGCGGCTGGTTCCCCTCAGACACCTCAAACCAGTGCCCCTCCCGCTTCCCCATAAACACGCTCCACCTCCGCGCCGGCAGTGATTCCAAGGGTTCACACTGCACGTCCACACGTCACCCTGCGAGAAACGACACTTCTGCTGTGACGAGAAAACTTCCAAGGGGAAAGACCGCACACAGACCTGGTTCTCCCCGGACCAGGAGGGCCTAAGTCTTACTTCCGGGAACTGCTCCCACCGCGCGACTCCCGGCTCCGCCTACGGCGGCCGCGGAGGCCCCGGAAGGGCGGGTGACCGCGCGTCTCCCGTGTTGCCCCGCGAAGCAGTCCGTCTGTGCCCCGCTCGCCGCTCTGTTGAGGGGCGGACGTACAGACGGCGGGGCGGGCCCGTCGGGGCCCCGAAGCCCCGGAATTGATCTCCTTTGACTCCTTCGGGAAATGGGGTTTTCAAAGACTGGAGCTTCCAGAGGCAAACATGCAGCAGGCTAAGTTGCTTTATGAAGTTGAGCAATGACAATGACGAGTACTCTGATTCGTCCGATGGCTCATTCACTCACGTTCAAAATCAATGCAAAATCAATACAAAAAACGTTCCAATACAACCTTCCGAAAATGACAGATTTTTCTCAGTACGTACTTGCCAGCCACAGCTGAAAATTCTGCTCATAGTCTTATGCTGTCCAACAAGGAAGCCACTAGTCACATATAGCTACTGAGCAACTGAAATGTGCTGTAGTGCAACTGAGGGACCGCTTCATTTTGTTTTTAAAACTCTGAAATTTAAATGCAAAAAAAAACTAGCGTTATTTTTAATCGACATGAGATAAAACATGGGCATTAAAAAAAACTTGCATCCTAAGGTGCTTAAAAACCATTAAGAGGAGTCCTTGCCCTCCCTCAAAATAATATACCCCTCTGACAAATTATCACAAATCGTTGAACCAATTACAGTGGTCCTGTTAGGCAGGAAAATAGATATGAACAGGGTGGAAAGAGAACAAGGTCAGTAAAGCTCCCTAGAAAGGACTCAGTTAAGCAGTTAAAACTAGAAAGCCAGAAAAGACTCACCTGCTTCTGACCCGCAGATAAGGGAGGAGACACGATGAGATATCGAAGATCTGAGAGGACCAGCCAGGGGACTCGAGGCTTAACTGCGCAAGAGTAATGCCGAAAGGGCACTTCTCATATTTATTGAGCAAATGATAATCATCGTTATCTGGCCTTGAGTCTAGCCCAAGGTCGCGATGCTTCTCAAGTGTTAGGAAAGAGTATAAAACCTAAATGTGATTTATTCCCACTAGGATGTTTAAACATTTTAACAGTAAGGTATTAACAAAGGGCCACATGGTGGAAGCTGCTGGGGCTGAGAGTGGGGGTGGGGGAATTGATAAGGGCCTGGCTATTCCTGTTTCGAGTTTTTTAAACCTACCAATAAGATTAAAACAAATGTAAAGGAAAGATATAACTGGCTTAGGCGATGTCCAGGAAAGAATGCGAACCCTGTAGTACTCAGCCAATGAGGAACCAGGAAAGGGACACGCGCACTAGGAGATAAATTATTGGCGCCAAACTCCCCAGGTGTGCCTGCCCACCAGACACCGGATCTTGCCAAGACCGTCATTAAAGCCTCGCTCCGCTGTTCTCTTTGCCTCCATATCCACTTATTGAATATGGACCAGTGAGTGTTCCTCACATCAAGGATACTGAAACCATGTGAAGGCGGCCCTGAGCAGTGGGAACTGTTTTGGTTCTCATCATTGTTTTTGATTACACATCAAGAGTTGTAGGAAAAACAAGTCATGTGTATTTGTACATTTGATTTCTATATTACTTGATTTATGTATTAATCTCATTAATCCCACACAGAGTTAATGAGTTAATCAAATAAAGCTCAAAGGTCAAGAGCAACTTGGCCTTGAATGTTTGAATATTCCCCAGATAAAGAGCAGTACCTGAGCACAGCCCATGTCTTCATTGTGCCATTGTAAGCCTGCTAAAAGGCCCACGTATAAACAGCATAATAAAGACAGGGAGATCCCACCTTAAAGCCAAAATTGCATTTTGGTAAAAAAAAAACAAAACCAGTAAATTCAAGAAGATTCTTTACATCCTCTAGCTTGACTGATATGTTCCGAAACCAGGAAGCTGCTATCCTGGGAGGGGACCAGAACAGTAAATTTCTTGCGTTAAGCTAATTTGGCAGAATTATCTAGAGGACTGATAACAAACATTCATCAAGATACTTGACACCAGTTAACAAGTCCACACCCCTAGCCCTTTGTCACATTCCTAAAAAAATCATTAAAAGGGGGAACCCTCAACCTTTCAGCACTCTCCTCTCTGAGGTCGCCCACACTTTATAAGTGTGAAGTCTCTTAATCTTAAACTCTCTCTCCAACCTTTCAGGGCACTCCTCTCTCTCTGAGGTCACCTGCATTTTCTAAGTAACTTTACATAAAACTTTTACTTCGCTTCACTACTGTCTCTGCCCTTCAATTCTTTGTTGCGGCGGGGACAAGGACAGAGGAAATACACAGCGCCTCTCCCCCAACAGTTCGTCTTTACAGTAGTTTTGATAGGGAAAAATTTACAAGGACAGCAGTCTGGCCCAGATGGCTCCCTTCTGCTGCTCCTCTTCGCAGACAACAGAAACTCCCTTAACTTCCCCCGAGCTTCACTCCCGGCTCTGCCAGGCACTTACTCCCCCTTGCTTGCTCGTTTGCTGTGCACGTAGAAATGCTGCAGATACAAAAGCAGAAAGATATGTATTGCCCCCCTTGCCTTTGTTCGGGGCTCAGACCTTAGGAGATACTTCCCCTCTGAGCCGCCGGTGTAAAATTAAAACCTCAACACTCCAAGACTTCCTAGGGACGCTTGGTTCTTCCGTCAGTGATCCAGTCCAGGTTTTTCCAGTATTTTCCGTAGCAGTTTCAGCTACTATAGTTGTAACAATATATATACACTAGTATAGCTTTGGGACAGGGACTGTGGGTATAGTCAGAGCAAGGTGAGGGCCTCCGGAAAAAGCAAGGCAGGATATTTGCAGTCAAAGCAATGTACCTACATGCAAGGAAACCCCCTACCAAAACTCTTGTGTTAAACATTCAGCTCTAGAGTCATTCTTCAGCGAGATCAGATCATATTTTAATGCTTACACTAATCATTTGTAATCTTAAGATTCATTTAGCATGCTAAAAGGGCCAGGCCTAGGTGCTGTCTTTCCTCCTTAAGACCTGGTGAAGTGATTTGCAAACTTGGCAACTAATTCAGCACGCAGGCCCAGCCATAAAAAACATAGTAAAAGGCAGGAAGGATCCCACCTTAAAGATAAGATTGCATTTTAATACCCAGGGAGTTAAGAAAATTCTTACTCTTCAGCAAACAATACCTCAGTCCACCTTGCGGTCTGGACAGGCGGCCTAGTTTGATAAAGCTCCCAGACCAAGCTGCTGGTTTCTCAGGGAGAAATAATCAGAGCAGGAAGTTGCTTGTGTTAGTTTTAAATATTCAGGGACCACTTAATAAGTCCACACCCCTAAGCCTTTTTCACATTCCCCAAAATCCTCAACTGCCTATAAAACCCCCAGACAACGCTCAACTATGGATCTCTTGTCCCCTCCTGGCATGAGCCAAGAGCTCTGTCCTCTCACTGTATCTCTCAATAAAAGCCTCTCCCTGGCTCTCCTACCTTGGGTGTTTGGGAAGCTCACTCTTCAGCTCTGTTCACAAGAACCCCGGCATCAGCTTCAGCTACCACAGATCAACAGCAGGCTGGAAGCAGAGGATCCTTCTGACCTATCATCGAAGGTCAATAGTAGCCTGTAAGTCTGGGGAGAGGAAGTCCTGGGGCAAAATACCTCTAAAAGCTGCTATCAGTCAAAGGGAGAAATATTTTTAAAAACTTAAAACCCGTTTATTGCTTACAAACTGCGGTCCAGGGCTGCCTTTCTCCTCAGCTCTAGAAGTCACTAAGTCAGCCAGCCCCCTCCCCTTAACCTCCCAGGTTCAGACACGCCCTGGGTCGCCCAGGTAATTACCCATGGATATGGAGATGGACTTCTCTCCACCCCTGAGGATATGCAAATGAACTGAAGCCAGAGGAGATACTCTGGAAATACTACAATTTTACCCACATAGCCTAAGGCTACATCACTGTGCCTACATCCTTCACTTCACCTCACCACAGGAACATTTTATCTTCTTACATCAACACAAAGATGAGTACCGTGCACTAAGATTTGGAGAGACCATATTCACATAACTTTTATTATAGCACATTGTTATAACTGTTTTATTACTAATTGTGCATCTCTTATTGTGCCTCATTTATAAACTTTTGTCATAGGTATGTATAGGAAAAAAATTATGCATAGGGTTTAATATCCATAGTTTCAAGCATCCACTGGGAGTCTTGGAATGGATTGGGGGAACGACTGTACTCGATACCTGCTACGGACTGGATGTTTGTGTCCCCCCAAAATTCATACATTGATGCCTAATCCCAAATTAGTGATAGTATTAAGTGGGGCCTTTGAGAGGTGATTAGGTCATGAGGGTGGAGCTGTCATAAATGGGATTAGTGCCCTTAGAAAGACATCCAAGAGAGCTCCATTCCCTTTCCCCTATGTGAGGGCACAAATGACTATCTTCTGTGAACCATGAAGCAGGTGCTCAATAAACACCGAGTCTGCCAGCACTCTGATCTTGGACTTTGAAGCCTGCAGAAATGTGAGAAATAAATTTCTCTAAAAGCCACCCAGGCTATGGTATTGCCTTCTAGCAACCAGAATGTTTAAGACGGCGTCTATTTCACCTAGAGAGTGACACCCCCTTGCTCGGTGACCTGCAAAGGTACCACTAAAGACAGTCCAATTACCTCAGTGCCTCCTCTTAGAGACCACAGGCTTTTTCTGTTTTGATCACCAGTGTATCCTCAGCTCCTGAACAGGGACAGTACACAGGGAGTATTTGACAAACAGTAAATGAAACAAATAGGCTCAATCGTAGGTTGTTGTTTCATGACTCTATATAATATAAACTTCTAAAACTTTATGGTAGACATCCCAGTTTTCAATTAATCCTTCACCTGGACCTGGACTGACTGAACTGATCGTATACATTCCCATCTCTCACCAATTCAGTATTAGCCCTTCATTCATAACATCCAGATACAAATTACCTTGTTTTAAAACTTCACCTGCTCATTTCCTCCACTTAGTTGAACTCAAGCTGCCTTCATATGTTTAACTGACCCAACAGAGGAAGTGAGTGTTGTATGTGTTTGGGTCACATCCGGTGATGCCCCTGTATCGATGCATATACATAATAGGAGGCTATCAGGCTTTCCCAGTCTCAGCATTTATAGTTTTTCTCAATATATACTCTTCAGCCATAGAATGAGCTGGAAACTTTAGCTCAAACCTTTTACACATGAAATACCTGAGTTTTTTCCTACTGGTTCTCTGTGATATAAAATAAGACATAATTGACCACTGAGGGCACAGCCACATTCACTGCACTCATAAGGTGTCTGTCTTGGCAAAGTCCTCCTGAGGGTGCCCACCTGGCCACAGGCTGCCCCACTATGACTACATTCCTATTTGTTAGGAGCCCACTCATGTTTAGCGACGTCTGAGGGGACAGGGAAGGCACGTGCAGAGGCACTGTATTAACAGAGCCCTCTTCTTGCATGGCAGTACTAGTCTGTGATGAACTGAGATTCTCTTTGAGGAGACTTTCCACCTTGACTGAATCTCCGCGTTTCTCCCTTGTGTGTATTCTCTTATGTTTAACAAGGCAAGACATGTATGCAAAAGCTTTCCCACACTCACTGCAGACATAAGGTCTTTCCCCCGTGTGAGTTCTTTGATGGACATGGAGTTTTTGCCTTGTGGTAAAGGCTTTCCCACATTCACTGCATTCAAAGGGCTTCTCTACTGTGTGGATCCTTTGATGTTTAATGAGGCCTGATTTCTGGGAACAGGATTTTCCACACTCACTGCACACAAAGGGAGTCTTTCCTGTGTGAAATCTCTGATGTGCTATGAGGCACGTCTTCTGGATGAAGCCTTTTCCACATTCATTGCATATATAAGGTTTCTCACCTGTATGAATCCGCTGATGTACAATGAGATTTCCCTTCTGGATGAAGCCTTTTCCACAGTCACTACATATATATGGTTTTTCTCCTGTATGTGTTTTCTGATGTATATTGAGCCGTGATTTCTTGAGGAAGGCTTTGCCACACTCAGTGCATTCGTAAGGTTTCTCTCCTGTATGAGCTCTCTGGTGCTCAGTGAGCATGAACTTTCTGGAGAAGGCTTTCCCACATAGACTACATCGATGGGGTTTCTCTCCCGTATGAATGATCTGGTGATCACTAAGCCAAGACTTCTTCATGAAGGCTTTCCCACATTCACTGCACACATGCGGCTTCTCTATTTTTTTAGTTTTTTGATGCTTGATGACTTGGCACTTAGTGCTGAGTTTTTGGCTGTCAGGGAATTGAATTTCAGTCTGAAATCGCTCACTATTATAACAGAGAAAGGATTTCCCATCTCCAGTATGCTCAGCAGCATTATTTATTTCAAAGCTTCTGCTCTGGTTAAGTAAAGTTAAATTTGATTTCATATTTTTTCCATGTAAGTCAAGCATATCATGATTTTTCCTTAAAAGAAAATGAATTCCACTCTGATGAAAAGTATTGTTAAATGTGCTAAATCTATGCCATTGTTCTAAGCTATTGTCCATGCTTTCATGATCATCGACTCTCCAGATTTCTAGGAAAGAAAAGAAAAATGAATTCATCCATCAGCTTGATTTGGAAGAAAACTAATTTTAAAAATACCTTGCTAAATTTTTAGTGAGGACCCTTTTAGTATAAATAAAACTCCATGTTTAATGTTCCTTATATATTTCAAAAAACAGCAATGATGAGTAAACACATTGTCCGGCTTTCTAAATACTGGCCTTGCAGAAAAGCAGAAACTGTCAAATACAAGCAATTTACTGTGAGCAGTGTGCCACACATTAAAGCACCACCTCATTCAAATTGGAGAGACACAGACTCACTCGTATCACAAATCCTTATTGATGATTACTGTGTACTAGAATGGTGCTAGTGTTGGGGATACACAAACATATTCTTCATGTTCATGGTGTCTGCACTGCAAATTGGGGAAAACACTTAAGGGGCAAAAGACAGAGACAAGGAAAACAGGTTGTGAAAATGGTAATGGTAATGGAGGGAGGCGCAATCAGGTTATATTTTGGAGAAAGCCAGCCCTCACTGGTGGACTCATAGTGGTGGTCCACACTGCAGGGAATAACAACAACACAGTAGAGGGCTTCAAGCACATCTAACTTGCAGTCTCAAAAACAGAACTCCTTATTTCCCAAGTCAAAACCCTGCCACCCTCCATCACAGTAAGTGGCAACTCCACTCTTCTCTTCAACTATGACAAATCTCATGGTCGCCCTTGATTTGTTCCTGTCACTCACACACAGCATCTATCTCAGTGATAAATAAAATATCCACAGAATGGACTAACAGCCACGCCACCTCCCCACGTCAGAGCCAAGCACTCTCTTGGGTACTCCTGCAGCAACCTCCTGCCTGGCTTTCCCGTTGCTCCCCTTCCAGCTCCTGTCTGTTTTCTGAGCAAGAGACAAAGTGATCTTTTCAACACAAATCATATGATAACAGGCTGCCTCTACTCAAACTCTCTGACATTTTCTCATATCCTAAGGGATATACTGAAGGTCTTGAAATGTCCTTGACAGGCCCCTGTGTGACCTACTGCCCCAGTCCCTAGACACTACCCCACTGACCTGACTGTTGTCTTGCACTCCATCCAAACAGGTCTCCTGATGTTCCTCAGACACTCCTGCCTCCAGCCTTTGAACTTTCCAGTTTTGTTTTGGGATGTTTGATGCCCAGAGAGCCTACTCATATCCCTCACTCACATCTCAAATGCACTTTAATGGACTTCCTGTCGCTAGAATCACAGAGCTGAGGTCAAGGTCCCCTTTATTCAGTTATGCCACTTTGATGTTCTTTGCAACAGCTGTCACCTCAAGAACGTGACCATCAACTTTCATCTGCTTTCTGTCAGTGCCCTGACTGACTTGAAGGTCAGCTCCCACCTGCCCGCTCTAACGAGCCCATGCTGAAGTCAACCACCCCCCCTCGTGTTCTGCAGTTGCCTATCACATGACTTTCCTGCTTGCACCCCTGCTCGCTGTCTGCTTTCTACAAAGTAGGCAAAGAAATTCTTTGAAAACATTACAAATTTCATGTCATTGTGGCTCTCAAGAACTCGTTTTCTCATCTTATTAGGATAAAATCATGATTCCTTGAAATGGACGGCTTGACCAATCTTACTCACCCTTACCTCCCGCTGATACTGGCCCTTTGGCCATGTCTCCAGCATGTTCCTGATAGCACAGACTGCTCTGTCCACGCAGACTCTGGAATATTTCTCAAATGCTTTCCTGTCTTGGGCTTTTATACTTTTGTACTTGCTGTCCTCTTCACACAGAACACTCCTAACCCAGGGCCTACAAATTTCCTTCATCTCTTGGCTCAAAGGCACCTCATCGAAGCAGCATTCCCTTCCTAGCCCCAGCCCCGACTAAACTTTTATCACAGTACTTTTCATCCCCTAGACATATTATCTACTTATTTTGGTTAACTCTTTGCCATCTGATCTTAGAATGAAAGAAAGCTCTGATCTATCTGTATGTTTTTTTCTCATTGTTCTTACCCTTCACCATACACTAGGCTGTCAAAAAATAATTTATACATGAACGAATCAAGAAAGTGATCATGTATGGAACACACTAGGGAGAGTTTTGAACAGAAGATAGAAATCTCTTTGTGATTAAGATGACATATCATGGAGATCATGCAAAGAAGATTAATGTCATATGATAGGTAATGCAGTTAAGTGGGACAATGTCATCAGAACATAATGGGAAGAAAAATGAAAGTTTTGGGGAAATGAAATCAATGGTAACATCTATGATGAGTGAGAAGTTAAAAATTAAAAAATATAAAAAGGAATTAAATCAAAGTTAGCAAGAGTTATGATCTGGTTTAGGCTGTAACTGAATATGTAGGATGTTAAAATGTTTTCTAGTTAAAAATTCATCATGAATGGGAGACCACTGCAGGGAGGGAAGATTTCAAGTACTGCCTGGATGGCCACGATGGAGACGCACGGGGGGAGAAAGGGGACCCAAACGCACACGGGTGTTCTTGGAGGGAAGGTGATTCTGGGTCCTGAGATCGCTGGAAACTCAGAGACACCGGGGAGGTGAGTAAACGACGCAGAACTAACGCCTGTGGATCGCATGAGACGCCGATTCGAGAGTCCTCACCGGGGACTGGATCAGCCTATCCGACTGGAGAAAGCTTTCAGGGGCTGGGTCACATGACAGATGGAAAAGAGAACCTTTGGGGAACCCGAGAGCGGGGAGAAAGGCACAGAGGAGACCGGTCCACTTTGGGGGCCCAGCTTCCAGGACGGGGCGGATGTCAGGCCAGGGAATCCACATCCCAGTGGGCAGGAAGCGGCCTGACGACAGCGAGGAACTCGGTCTCCTCTTCGGAGAGAGGCCGTGGGCGGTGGGATTTCACAGCGAGGGAGGCGAAGGAGGAAGAGGAAGGGGAGACTCGAGACCCTGGAAGAGGCCGACTATGCAAACACAGATCTAGACGTAGGTAAAATGAAGATCAAACCGCAGACGAGAGAAAGGGGCGTATTTTTCTTCCGACTCCTACAAGAGCTCTCCCGTGGGAGAGAGCTGCAGCAGGCAGTGCTCCGGAGCCTCAGACCCCCACACGGTCGTGACCCTTCGCCGGGCGATGAGCACGCGGGCCCGCAGCCTGCCCCCTGTGCGGGTCGCCTCACCCACCTGGACGGGCCCCACCTCGGATCCCGTCTTCCCCGGCCCTCGGCGGTTCCCCCGGCTCCAGCCTGGGGAGGGCGTTCGGGCTCTTCGGTGGACCGCCTGCCGTGGGAGACGACGCAAGACTCAGACCCACGGAATGAGGCGCGGGGTCAGTGAAGACCACAGAATGTGACATGCAAGGACAAAATGACTTCCACACCTAAAAGTAAAGGTTTTTCTCTCAGGAAGGGGATATGACACCCTCTACTCCAGGACCCGAGTGGGGCTGAGAATCAACCACTTCAGAGAACCTAGGACACACCAGAACGTTCAGAAGCTGAGAGAGGTGAGGTCACGATGGGCAAGCACCCTCTGGGCGACACAGGGGCGCCGTCCTCACCCACTGACACCAGGTTCCTGTAGTTCTCCAGCATCACGTCCCGGTACAGGTCCTTCTGAGCGGGGGCCAGGAGCTGCCACTCCTCCTGGCTGAAGTCCACGGCCACGTCGTCAAATGTCAGGGATTCCTGTCATAACACAGTGCTGTTTAATGAAGTCATGTTTTCAATGATATGGAAGAAATGTAAAAGTTTTTCTGCTTATATCTACTCTATAGGCTACAGCTAGATATCTAGTGGGGTTATTTTCATATGTTGTTGAAGCAAATGTCTAATAAAATATTCTGCAATTATGCATTCACTCATCAATCCACTTCCATTTAGGACTTTCTATAATGTGTACAAGTTAGACTTTCTTGTTAACCTAGAAACACCACACTCGTGTGTGTGACAGACAGAAGACATAGGTACGTGTACTTCTGAGATGAATGGGCCTGGTTTCCTACAGGCCTCTCCAAGTCCCCGAGGAAACAAGGGCGGGACTGAAATGAGCCTGAAGTCACCTGGGCCTGGATCATCTCTCCTGCCTCTCAGCAGCTGGCAAGGGGGCTCTTCGTGGTCTGGATCTGCTCAGCTCTCCGCTCAGCGATCTCAGGCTTCCGTCACGTGTATCAGCAGAAATGCTGGTACCGGATCCTGTCACTTCTTCCTCCTTCACAGGGTTCTCCTGCTCCTGGGGACTCAACTCAGGACCTGTGCGTCAAGGAGAAAGTGAATTTGAGGGGTACAGTCCTCTGTGCCCAGGCGCTGTCACGGCTCCTGGGCACTCACCTGGACACAGTGGCGGCAGTATTGCCGAGTGTCCCTTTATTTGATGTCCCCAGAGGACCTTACCCTTCTGGCCAAGAAAGCCTTAGCCTCTGAGTGTGGTGGAGGTGAAGTTAAAGTGGGGTGACTGTCAAAGGAGAAGGGGGAAGTGAGATCCAGCCTGGCCCCCCGTCCCCTAGAGCAGGGGACCTGCAGGCAGATAAGTTATAGACAGACCCTGGGGAGGAGAGGGTCTGGGCACAGCTTTCCTTAAACCATGTGAGCTCAGGTACCTCTTCAAACGTTCCGTACACCCCAGAAGGACTCACACTTCAGTGTGAACACCAATGTACTGGGCAAAACAGAAGCGGTCTTTTCAGCAATAATGAGAACACCTTAGGTGGTTTTAAATACATGAGGAATTAAAATACATACTAGTCTAAAATTAGAAGGTGGAGTAAACATAAGAATTTGGAAAAAGAAAGGGCCCACACTGTAGGTCATCTCTAGTGTTATGATGAAACTAAGAACTGTCTTAAAGTACGTAACTTCCAAACTAACTGAAGGGGGAAATATGATAAGAAATTCATCGAAAACAAGGCAAAAGAAAAAAAAGGTGGAGGGGGGATAAGGAACAGAGAACAAGTAGGGAAAATGTACAATATACTTAGATAACTGTCTTAAAATAAAACATAGCAAGCATTATATTATCTATAAACAGAACAAGGATTCCAGTTAATTATCTTAGATTCAAATATCTCAAATCTGTCAGACTGGTATTGTAGTAACATGCTATTGTAGGTGACATGTTTGAAACATAATAATATGGAAAGCTTGAGAACAAAAGATTAGAAAAGATAACGATGGAAAGAGTAACCATGGATAATCTAGCATAAGTATATTCTCAGGCAAAATAGACCATAAAGCCCAAAATCTACTACAGAGAAAGAAAAAAATGCTCACTGGCAAGAGGTTCAGTTCACAGCATTATAAAATTTTTCAGTTTCTCTCCACTTAACAATACAGCCTTGAAATGTATACAGCAAAAATAGCCCAACCGACATGAACAAATCCCTACTAATTTGTAGAAGACTTCAACAAACCCACCTCTCCCAGTAACTGACAGAAAAAACAGGCCATTGACAAAATAACATTTATAAACAATATCTCAATGCCATGAAAAATGTTTGATAAGTTAAAAGAAATATTGAGAGAAATTTTAACAGACTGAAAGAAATTGAAATGGGTTATAAAGATGACTTAGGAAGCTAAACATTTTAAATATATATCTCCCAAATATGTCTACAAATTCAAGGAAATCTGGTTGAAATCCTAACTGACGGCTATGTTCACTCTTAAAAAAAAGCTGGAAGATTTTCTTTATCACTTAAAGTCACTTTTAACAACACAGTATTAATACAATAATAGACAACTAGGATAAAGCAAGAAAATTAAATGCCTATAAAGACTCCTGCATATAAAGAGAACTAGGTAAGAAGGGTGGCACTGCACAGAAGTGGGAAGGATGTCTTTTTAAGAAATGGTACTGGGACAATCAGATATCCATGCTGGGGTGAGTAACCAGGGAGAAAGTGGAACCCCACTGTATAACATACACACACAAAAAATAATTTTTTAACAGGGGGCAGCTGTCAGTCACAATGGGAGAGGCAAATTAGTAAAACTAAGAAGATAACAGCAGAATCTCTCAATGATATCAGGGTATATGGAAAGACATTCTAAACAGGCCACATAAATCACACTATAAAGCAAATGATATTCTTCTGGGGGAACTGTAAATAGTACAACCACTTTGGAAGACATTTCAGCATCGTTTCTCTATTGAAGTTTTACACACCTTAACATACAGCAATTTCATTCTGAGGTGTACAGCTAAGGTCTATATTACACCCTCCAGCCAGCCCCAAATAGGGGCACATTGGAACCAGAAGACACTGACAAGAAGTCACACAGCCGCATTATTCAAAACAATTGAAATTGCAACCAATACAAGCTCAATTAACAGCAGGAAACTGCCTTATACTCAAACAATGGGAAGATAGGTAGAAACTACAATCTTTGTCTAGCTTGCAAACTAAAAATGGTCTAGTTTTTTGTAAAGGCTCTAAAAATACAAAGAGGCATATCTGAGAGACTGTGGCCTGCAACTCCTAAAATATTTACTGTGTACGTATTTATAGAATGTTTGCCTGAACTCTGTTGTACAGCAAAATAAATAAGAAAAATACACCTATGTGCAAAAATATGAATGATTCTTACAATTATTGGGCAAAAGAAGGCTGGGATTAAAATAATGTGTGGTTTATGATTACACTGACCCACTGTTAAAAATAGGCACAAGTAACTCAAATTAATGGTTCGTATGTAAAATAAAAAAATTTCTAATATGATAAAACTGTAAAGAAAAGTCTGAAAAAGCTTGCTATACAGATAGGATGGTAGTGACCTTTGGGTGTGAGGACGTAATATAGTTGGGAAGAGACTCACCACTGGGGTGCTGGCTGTGTTCTCTTTCTTGACCTAGGTACCAACTGTTTCATATATTTATAGTCCTTTTATACCAATTACTTTATGGATATTTTAAATCAACAAATAAATGGAAAAGCTCAATAATACCAATTATTTGTTTTTTAATGAGAGCAATAAAACATTTGTAGTGAGAGGGATCAGAGAAAGAGAACTGGTACAAATAAAGATCGTTAGGAATTAATAAAAGACAAAGCTTTAATAAAGTTTTTTATTCATAAAGACATAACTCAGATTATACTGTAAACATTTTTTATGTCTTTCAATTGGAAATCCTGGATGAATTCATAATTCAATGATCCTACTCTCTTAGAAACATGTCAACTCCAGACCACGTAGCGGGGGAATTTTTCGGGTAGGCAACAGAGCCAAGATGCCCACTACCACCCTACCTGCCTTCCTACTCGGCATCAGAGAACAGCCAATCCACTGAGACAGGAATAGGTTACAAACATTAGAAACTGGACAGAAAGTTAAGGTTATATTCAGACAAAATCATCACTGACATGGAAAGATTCAAGGAATTACTTATTTAAAAAAGAAAATGGTCCCTGAGGCAGGTTTTCACATGGAAGGCTGGTTAGAGTTGCCCCATATATCTAAGCTCATTTCACAGAAATTCAACACTAGCAACCGGAACTGGAGCCACCATAATTCACTAAGACCAACCAGGACTTACTAATGCATCAATTACCTAAAAGGATGGATACTATAAACCAAATGGAGATCTGTCAGCAAAGAAAAGGTGTGACTGCATGTCAGGCAAATAAGCAACAGTGTCCGCTGCTACGTATTAAGAGGCCAGTGCGGGCCGTTGGCAAACATTTTCTGCAAAGGCACAGAAACACATTTTCGACTTCGCGGGCCAAAATGTCCTGTCACAAGAACTCAATTCTGCCTTTGCAGGGCGACAGCAGCCACAGACATACATGAGACCAGCATTGCTGGCTTAGTCCCTCGGTCTGTAGTTAGTCAAGTCCTGAATAAAAGACTGAAAAACAGATGGTTTCCGACTGCTGCCCTGGGCCGCTCGCCTCTGTCCCCGCAGACGAGGTTGGAATCTCAACCCAAACACCAGCCAGGGGTCCCACGCGTCCAAAGCGTCAGCCCTCATTGCTTCTCTGTACCAGGCTCTGCTCACACTGCCATGAATCAGAAAGCCGGAGCAGTCAGAGCCCCCCTGTGATGACCGCCCACCCCAGGCCCCCCATCACTGAGCCGCACATTAAATTCCCAACGTGAACCAGACTGCGGTCGTCGCAAATACCACCCGCACCACCTGCCAGCAGAAGGACCCTGAGGAACCCTCCACCCCGACGGCCGGGACACGCGCGAGGATCTCTGCAGATCCAGTCGTTTGAAGTATCCCAGGTACGAGCCCGCGCCGGCGCGTCAGACTCCCGCCGGGCTCCGCCCGCACACCTCCACGTCGGCGCGCCCTACCCGCCCCGCCAACAGCCCCCAGGTCCACCCGCTCCGCTTCCACTCCGTGGCCGTCACGCCCCTCTGTGCGAGACAAACCTCCCACGGGTTTGTCAAGAGAAAACCACAAGGGACAACAGCGCGCTGACCTGGTTTACCCAGCCCACAACCGGGGTCCAAACGTCACACTTCCGCGAAGTGCAGCTGCCTCCGGGAACGTCGCCCAGAGTTTTCGTCGGCCTACGGCGGCCGAGGAGGCTCTGCGGCGGAAGAGGGCGGGCAGCGCGTTTCCGGGGCTGCCCGGGTAGGCAGCACGTCGGGGGCCGGCTGGGCGAGCGGGGGGCCGTGTTGGGAGGGCGGGCGGAGCCGGGAGGCCCCGAGGTTACTCTCTAACGGCGCGGTTTCGGCGCCTGCGGAAAATGAGGAGGTTTTTAGAGACTGAGCTTTGCGAGGCAAACATGGAGCGGGCGGGTTAAGTTGCTTTCAGCAGGTTGGACAGAAAGGTAATGTCGCGGCATTTTACGCTTTGTAGAAAAAAAATAAAAAATAAAAAGGTTTCGATATGGACAAGGAATTCAGGCGTTGTTACAGCTGCAGAGAACTAACTTCTGAAAAGAGAAACAGCAATACATGATTTTACCGATGGGTAAACGAACAGCCACGGAGACTACTGGCGGAAAATTTCAAGAAGCTGGTACAGCGCAAGCCCCGACGTCTCCTTCGAGGGGGAAAGAGCAGCGGGGACTCGGGAAAAGGCCACTAAAAACGAGGCTTGTAAAGGTCTGGAGTCAATAGGAATGACACAATTGGAATTCAGAATCCACAGCTTTTTGACCAAGGTTTCAAGTCAGTGGGGTTAGTCTTCTCAACAAACGATGCTGGGATAAAGATCTAGTGCAGAAAATAAGACGCTTAACTCTAGCCATATATAAAAATAAAAATAGGGGTCAGCAGAGATCGTTGGGGTCATGGCCACTCGCTGACGGGGCCCCCCGCCGGCTGAAGAAGGGGGCGAGGCTGTTCCGCCGCACCTCCCCGGGCCTGAGGCCAGTCGGCCTGGCCCCTGGCCTTCCCTCTTTGTGCTGCCATGGCACTGCCGGTTGAGGCGGGGAGAAGAGTTGGTTCAACGCCTCCCAGCTCTCCAGCTTCATGAAGCAGGCCCTGTCCCAGGCCCAGAAGTCCATCGACAGGGTCCTGGACATCCAGGAAGAGGAGCCGAGCGCCTGGACCGAGACCATTCCAGATAAGTCCTCCTGTCAGCGGAGGATGGGATACATCGACCTGGGGGTTAAAGTCCATCACTGAACCTCAGAGTCAACCAGTAGCCTCTCCAAAAGCAATTACAAAGCCAGTTGGGAGAACTGTGGTAGATGAATCTGAAAATTTCTTCAGTGCCTTTCTGTCTCCAGCAGATGTTCAGACCATTCAGACGAGTCCAGTGGTATCAAAACCACCAGCAAAATCACAACGGCCAGAAGAAGTGAAAAACACCTTACAGGAATCATTGCACACTGGGCAGTCAAGAACAAGCGAAACAACGGAGTCAAAAGTAAAAGACTCTTCTCCATGTGTGTCCGGGGAAGGTCTGGCATTAGATAGTCTGTCACCTAAAACTGAAGGCAGGCATGAAGAAACTGTTAATAAAGAATCTGATACGCAGGTGTCAGTCATGCCTCTGAAAGTATCTGAAAGTGCAATTAATGTGAAAACAACCAGGGAAAACATATCTAATATGTCTACATCTAATATGTCTACACAGTCTCTCACAACAGAAACAAAGGACATGGCTTTGGAACCTAAGGAGCAAAAACATGAAGACAGACAGAGTAATACACCTTCTCCTCTTGTTAGCACCTTCTCATCAGGTACTTCTACCACCAGTGATATTGAAGTTTTAGATCATGACAGCGTAATAAGCGAGAGCTCAGCAAGTTCAAGACAAGAGATGACAGATTCAAAATCAAGTCTTCACTTGATGCAAACATCTTTTCAGCTTCTCTCAGCATCTGCTTGTCCTGAGTATAATTGTTTAGATGATTTCCAAAAACTCACTGAGAGCTGTTGCTCATCTTGAAAGATGCTTTTGAAAGAATAGACTCCTTTAGTGTACAGTCATTAGATAGCCGTAGTGTAAGTGAAATCAATTCAGATTGAATTCTCAGGCAAAAGATATGCTTTAGTACCTATTGTATAACCCTTCAACTCCAAAGACTAAAATAGTTGAATCTGTTGAAGGAAAATCTGAAGAAGCAAATAAAACATTAATTATACCAACTGAAGAAACAAATGGAAGAAAGTAGATGAAGTACAACTCCTGTTAACTGTGAACAGCCTGATACCTTGGTTTCTTCACCAATAAATGAAGGACATACTGTCTTAGACAAGTAGACCGGGCAGTGTGAAGGTGCTGAAAGTCAGCCAGAGGCACTTTCTGAGAAGGAAGATGTTTGTAAGAAAGTTGAATTTCTGAATGAGAAACTGGATAAAAGGAAGGCTCAGTTATTATCTCTTAGTAAAGAAAAAGCACTTCTAGAAGAGGCCTATGATAATCTGAAAGATGAAATGTTCAGAGTGAAAGAAGAAAGTATCAGCATTTCTTCTTTGAAAGATGAGTTTACTCAAAGGATTGCAGAAGCAGAAAAGAAAAGTTCAGCTAGCCTGCAAAGAGAGAGATGCTGCTAAAAAGGAAATCAAAAGTATAAAAGAAGAACTTGCCACTAGATTAAACAGTAGTGAAACTGGAGACCTTTTGAAAGAGAAAGATGAACAGATCCTAGGATTGATGGAAGAAGGAGAAAAACTTTCAAAACAGCAACTGCATAATTCTAACATCATTAAGAAATTAAGAGCTAAAGACAAAGAGAATGAAAATATTATTATGAAGCTGAACAAAAAAGTAAAAGATCTAGAAGAAGAATTGCAGCATTTAAAACAGGCCCCCAATGGCAAAGAAGAGGTTGAGAAACAACATAGAGAAAATATTAAAAAATTAAATTCTGTGGTTGAACGCCAAGAGAAGGATCTTGGCCAACTTCAAGCAGACATGGATGAACTTGAAGAAAAGAGTGAGGCACAGGAGGCTGCCCTGAGTCGTGAAATGAAGGCTAAGGAAGAGCTGGCTGCCACCCCAGAGAAGGCCCAAGAGGCCGCCTGTCAGCAGCAAGAAATGTTAGCAATTCAAGTGGGGGACCTTCGGCTGGCACGACAATGTGCAGAACAAGCAGCTGCCAGAAAAGAGGATTATTTACGCCATGAGATCAGCAAACTTCAGCAGAGACTCCAGGAAGCAGAGAATCAAAACCAAGAACTGAGTCAAAGTGTTTCATCAACAACAAGACCATTGCTTTGACAGACGGAAAATTTGCAAGCAACTCGAGGGTCTCAGACATTGTCATGGGAGAAGTTAGAGAAGAATCTTTCTGAGAGGCTTGGTGAATCCCAGACCTTGCTGGCAGCAGCAGTTGAAAGAGAACGTGCAGCCACAGAAGAACTCCTTGCCAACAAAATTCAGATGTCCTCCATGGAGTCACAGAATTCTCTTAAGACAGGAAAACAGTAGATTTCAGGCCCACCTAGAATCAGAGAAAAATAAGCTAAGAAAACTGGAGGATGAAAATAATAGGTACCGGGTTAAATTAGAAAACCTAAAAGATGAATATGTAAGAACACTTGAAGAGACAAAGAAAGAAAAGACACTATTGAACAGTCAGTTAGAAATGGAGAAAATGAAAGTTGAACAAGAAAGGAAGAAAGCAATCTTCACTCAAGAAGCAATGAAAGAGAAGGAACAGAAGCCATTTTCTTTCTCTAGCACTCCTACAATTTCACGCTTAAGCTCCGTAAGTGGAGTTGACATGGCAGGACTACAAACATCTTTTCTATCTCAGGATGAGCCTCATGATCACTCATTTGGACCAATGTCTGTCTCAGCAAATGGAAGCAATCTTTATGATGCTGTAAGGATAGGAGCAGGGTCAAGCATTGTTGAAAATCTACAGTCTCAGCTAAAGCTAAGGGAAGGAGAAATTACTCATTTACAGGTAGAAATTGGCAGTCTAGAAAAAACACGTTCAATAATGGCTGAAGAGCTAGTTAAATTAACAAATCAAAATGATGACCTTGAAGAGAAAGTAAAGGAAGTACCCAAACTTAGAACTCAGCTAAGAGATTTGGATCAGAGGTACAACACCATTCTGCAGATGTATGGGGAAAAAGCAGAAGAAGCCAAAGAACCCCGCTTAGATCTTGAAGATGCAAAAAATATGTATAAGACCCAAATAGATGAACTTCTACGACAAAGGCTCAGTTAACTTCTAAAAATTACATTCCCATCAATCTGAATGTAAACATTTCGTATTTACATGCAGACTTCCAATAAATTCTTTTATAGAAAAAAGTAAAAAATAATAAAAAAATAAATAAAAATAGATCAGACCTAAATATAAGAGGTGTAAGTATAAACTTAGAGAAGCAAATGGGATATAATTCTCATGAACCTAAATTAACCAGAGTTCTGAGACAAGACAGTAAACATTGAACCATTAAAGAAAAACTAATAAATTGAACTTAATTAAAAAACTTTTGTACTCACAGCATTTGAGAAAGTGAAGAGTGGAGTCAGAGATTGGGGGAAAATATTTCCATGTTAAAATTCAGCAATAACAAAACAACCATCCATTTACTTTTTGGGGTAATGAAAACTGAAAAGTGGATTGCAGTGATGGTGGCACAACTCTATAAACTTACTAAATGTCTTCGAATCGTACACTTACTACTGGTAAATGTGTTATGTAAATCATGACCGTAAAGCTATTAAATGATTTGCTGTTCTATGTTACAAAATTTGTTACGAATTTTAAAAAACAAAGTATGATTGCAAAATTATAAACTACCTAGGATTAAAGTTAATGGAGATATGTGAGACAAGAAAAAAGGTACAACAAATCTTCAAGTGACAATGTAAGAATCTGGATAATGAGAGGGTTATAATATAAACAGTTGAATATATTGTTTTTTGAGTATACTGAATGTCTTGCCAATGGGTTTCAGCCCCAGGCAAGTTCACTATGGATTCAGTGTGACCAAAGAAATGAAAGTAGAACGTTTTTGGGGTGAAAGGGTTTATAACCAACTTTATTTCCATGGAGGCAGGTCAGTCACTAGAATCCTGTCCACTCAGAGCAAGTCTGCATGCAGCAGTCTCTGCCTCTGGGCCTCTCTACCTGCGCAGCCATTTCAGTCTCTGTCCTTGGTGCTGCCACCACTCCAGTCTCACCTCTGCTCTCCTGCAGCCTTGCAGCTGTGCCACCATGTTGCCCAGAGTACTGGGCAGGGCTCTTTATTACAGAGTCAATAATGACATATTGCCCACATGTGTAGTGAGCTAGCCAACCAGGAACCTTCACTTTTTCCACATCACACTTTAATGCATACCTTTTATGTGACTAGCTATCATCCTGTTAGGCAGAAAAAAAAGATATAAGGGGGGTGGAAAGAGAAGGCCAGTAAAGTGCACTAGAAGGGACTAAAAAAGTTAACCAATTAAAAATAGAAAGCTCAGAAAGCCAGGAGCAACTTGACCTAGAATGTTTGAATAGTTAATAACCTTTTGCCTGGCATTCTTTAGCCCGGTCTTTATGCAGAAGAGGAAATGGTTTCTTTCCCACATAGTATCTTTGTCATTAAAATCCCAACGAGGGTTTACAGAGGGAACAGCAATCTTACCGATGGCAAAGTCAGTGTCTGACAAATGGAGGCTATGAGCAAATTTACGGGCCTCCTGCCCCAGGATTACCTTAATGTCTTTTCAGGTGAGGTCATAGGCTACGCTGATGTACTGGAATTAATCAATGTAGTTTTCTGGTTTGGTTGTACAGCTACCGAAGTCAGCCTTAAGCTGTTTTAATTGAGTTAGTGAAAAAGATTTGTGGACTAGCACTGTGCCAAATTCACCTCCAGCTGTATCCGCTCATGGGCGAATTTTAGGTGTCTTGGGGAGCGGTTCTGAGCGCTCAGAACTTGGTTCTTTGTGCTCCTGCGGGGCTCCCTGCGGGGCTTTGTCTTCGGAGAGCCCCGGGCACTGGGGCGGCGTAAGGCGGGGAGAAGAGTGGGGCGGGGCCAGGTGGACTACCCGACTTACACGTCTGGCAGAGATCCTCCCCGCTTTTAAGACAGAAGAAAGCCTGAACATAAGGGACCTCTGCCCGCTCCCCCAGCTGCTTACAGAAGAGGTCAAGCTGCATGAGTACTAGGGTTAAGAGTTATGTTAAGTGGCCACTGCTTCTGGTCCTCTAGCTGATATTGGGGCCAGGCTGTGTTGTAAAAGAATATTAGCCATCTCCTTATAAGTGCCCCTGGGTCTATTTGGGACCAATGAGAAAGGATACAGCCCAATGGCATGGTAGTTGGGATGGACTCCTGGTTGCCCATCTAGGAAGAAACAAATGGGTTAGAGACCCTAGAGTCGCAGGGTCTATCCCAGAGGTCTCAGCATCCCAGGACCTGGAAATCGATTCCTGTTTTTGGATGTGTCCAAAACGAGAGTCCTGTTGCAGCTTACTAGTTTAGGGCTTACCGGGCGTGGATAAAGTGAAGGTTCCTGCGGCCAGGATCCTCACCTGGTGCTGGTTGGCTAGCTCACTACACACGTGTGGGCAATACGTTATTACTGCCTCTATATAAAGAGCCCTGCCCAGTGCTCTGGGTGACACTGTGGCAAGGCTGCAAGGCTGCAAGGCTGCAGGAGAGCAGAGACTGAAGAGGTGGCAGCACCGAGAAAAGAGACTAGATGGCTGCGCGGGCAGAGAGGCCCAGAGGCAGAGACCAACTTGCTGCGTGCAGACTCGCTCTGAGTGGACAGGATTCTAGTGACTGACCTGCCATTGTGGAAATAAAGTTGGGCATGACCGTTTCATCCCAAGAACATTCTACTGTCATTTCTTTAGTCTCACTGAATCCATAGTGATCTTGTCTGGGGCTGAAACCCATTGGCAAGACGGGGCTTACCGTGGTCTGAGTTGATCCCAAGAGATGGAGACAATGGAAATCCAGGCCGGCAGATCTTCTGAGGGAGCCAGAGGGGGGCTCAACCAAATGGACACACACACATGCTGGAAAAGAAAGGCTGTCCGGCAGCCTGAAGGCTCGGCTAATTGAAAACTGGAAAACCAGAGGGCTGCTTGGCCTGTCAGATACTGAAAAGGAAAATGTGTTGGGCAGCAAAAAATTCTATTTGGGAGGTGGCTAGGGGTTGGACTTGGCTGTGATTTACTGTGTGCCTGGCTGTACAAATGTCGTCCTGTGGGTGGCAGAGACAAAACGTTGTAAGTTGAGTAGTGAGAAGTTTGTTTAGAGCAAAAAGGTGCACACTCAAAGGGGAGTGCGGGCACCTCAGGGAAGAGGCGCTGGAAGATTGGGAAAAGGCTACGCACTTAGAAAGTGTGGGTGATATCAGAAGTGCACCCTAACGGGTTAGGGTCTGGGTTTTATAGGCAGTTGAGGATTTTCAGGAACCACAAAGGACTAGGGGTGTGGACTTGTTAAGTGGTCCCCAAATGTTCATCTTTGATAAGGCATTAAGTTTCTTCTTTTAGCACAAGAAATTTTCTGCTGTGATTCCTTTCCAGGATAAAAGTTTCTGTCTGGAAGCGTATCAATCAAGACTGGCCGCCCTGCCTCCAAGGTGGGCTGTTATTGTCTGTCTGATTAAAATGCAGTCTGAGTTGTAATATGGAATTCTTCTTGAATGAACTGGGTCTTTGAGCAGGCTGAAGGAAATCTTACAATGGTATGTACTGATTGACACAATGAAAGCACAGGCTATGCTGGGATACTTTTCTTTATCTGGGGAGTAAGCAAACATTCCAGGTCAAGTTGCTCCTGGCCTTCTGAGCTTTCAATTTTTAACTGGTTAACCTTTTGAGTCCCTTCTAGTGGGGTTCACTGGCCTTATTCTCTTCCCACCCTGCTCATATCTATTTTCCTGCCTAACAATCCTACTAGTTCACCCATATTACTACAGCCCTGAATAGTAATTTTTATAGAGACATTTATAATATAAAAATGTTTATAATGATAAATTAAGTGATAAAATGAGATTACACCTTTCTAGTTTTGATATAATTAACATAGGCTATACCTACTTTTCACAAAAATTTTAGAAAATTTTAGGATTTTCACGAAACAAGGCACTTACAGAGGGTTCACATATACTGTCGTTCGACTTCCCCTCATATGAACATTTTATATAACCATGGCACATTTGTCAAATTGAGAAATTAACAGTATAATATTCAACTAAACTACAGATTCTATTCAGATGTCACGTTTTCCCCCTACTGTCTTTTTTCTAGCCCAGGATTCAGCTCAGAATACGGTATTGCATTTAGACATCACGCTTCTTTGGCTTTCTCTGCTTTCTGACCACTCCTCACAGTCTTTTCGCTTTTTCATGTCCTCAGTTATTTTGAAAAGTCCTGATCAGGCATTTTACACAGTCTCCGTCTTTTGGGTTGGTCTAAACTTTCCGCATTAAACGGGTCATTGTTGAAAAGACACCTCAGAATTCAAGTCCCTTTCTCATCACCCCATATCTAAGGGTACAAAATCTCAAAATGCCTTAATGTTGATCTCCTGGTAAAGGTAACATTTGTCAGGTTTCTCCACTGAGAACTACAAAGATGATTCTGACCAAAAAGAACTGTCATTACAGGGCTCACATCAACAGATTTCAGAAAGTACTGGTATTAATAGTATTGCTGAAAGGATACACATATAGACCAGTAGAACAGAAGAGGGAGTCCAGAAGATGACCCACACATGTCAGATATACTGTTTGATTGAGGTACAAAGTATACTCAATAGTATGACCACGGTACGAAGGCTGTCGAGTGGAGGAAGGACGGGCTTTCAACAAATGATGCTGGGAACACTTAGAGGTCCACAGGCCAAAAAACCAAACAAACATACAAATAACCCCACATTCATCACACAAGTCATGTATCTTATAAAGGACTGGTACCTAGAACATAGAAAGAACTCTAAAAGTCAACAGTAAGAAAACCCAGTTTTAAAAATGGGCAAAGATCTTGAATATACTCTTGATTGAAGATAAACAGATGGCAAATAAGCATGTGAAGAGATGGCCCACATCGTTTTTTGCTAGGAACTGCAAATTAAAATTGCAGTATACCACAAGTACCAGGCTATGAGGTGTGCTGAAATCCAAAAAAACCCTGAAAATATGAAATGCTGGTGATAAGGTGGAATAACAGGAACTCTTATTTGCCAGAGACAATGCAAAAAATGATATCCATCTTGGAAGTTAGGCAGATTCTTGAATGTATGTTTTACAGTGATCCCAATTTTTAGAAAGGTAGTCTAAAAAAATTATTTTTTAATTAAAATGCTTCTCGCTGACAAGAATTTAGGAAAATGGTTTTGTGACAGACCTGAAAAGAAACATCCAAGTTTATTTTTGTGGGGACAATGAGAAGAGTGGATGTGGGAGACAACTTTTTAATAGGGGCCTTCAGAAGGAACTTTAACTTGAAAGAGGTAACTTTTCCCAGTATCCAAAGGTTGGGCCTCAAAACACCGACTAGCCTAGGGCATGGGTTCACCCCTTGCAGACTCCCGCCTCTCAAACACAGACAAACCCTGCACGCCCAAAACAACACTGACCAAATTCAATCTGAAATTTACTGTAGAAACTTATGCACTGAGGCTCCTCTCTCTACTGCAGGCCTGTGTGTCATGTGCCCTGTATTAAATCACTGAGTTAGAGGCAGTGCTCATGGGACACAGTTCCCTCATTTTCAAATACCCTTCTTTCAGTTAACAGACTCTAAGCCCTGACCACAGGCCCTTCAGCCCATAATCTCAGACTAAGCCTTAACGAAAGGCCCCACACTCACACCAGATTCCACATGACTGACCCCAGATAAACCCCTACATGGACATTCACACACGTTCCCACTTCCTGGGCACAGCAGGCCCCTCGCTCGGACCCCACCACCAGAATCAGGTTTCCCGGACCTTGAGCCTCTGAAGACCCCATCTGGACCAGTGCCACTTCCAGTTCTGGTGCCCTCACCCCACAGTCCCTCCTCGGCTCTCGCTTAGGGCCACCGTGGGCTGGGTGGAGTGGGTTTTGTGAGAGTGCAAGGTTATTTCCGGAAGTCCAAGCTCTGGCCTGGCAAAGTTGCACGAGTCAGTGCTGGGGCCACTGGGGCCGCCGGGGCTGCTCTGACTCCGACAAGCAGGGAGGAATGAAATGTCTATGGACACCCCCATGCAGTCCTCTTTGCAGGAGGCACTCAATGCTGCAGAACAATCTACTTGTTTTCAGAGGTGGGAATCTATCCAAGGTCAAGTGACACTTTGGGATTCCCACTCTTCTGACACCAAAAGCTATGGTGTACTTTTTTCCCTACATTATGTGTAGCAGTAACATTATTATACACATCAGTAATAGTGTAACTTCATTCAGGTAACTGGACCCAACTCCATTTTGTGTAAATATGTGGGAGGGGGTCTCCCAAGACATACCAAGCAATTCTTGAACATCAGCAGGGTGTCTGAGAACTCAATTCTGACGCCATCTGCCTGGAGACAGTACCAGATTCCCAGGGTAAGGGCTCCATCTTACAAGACTTCCCTCCATTCCCTGACTCCAGATGCCAGTCACAAGCCCCAGGCAGTTAACTGTGCTCCTGACCTACTGGCTACAGACTGGAGGTTCCCATGAGCTCCCCGTTCTGTTCCACTAATTTGCTAGAGTGGCTCACAGAACTCAGTAAAACACTTAGACTTAGCAGTTTAATAAAGGGTACTCTAAAGGATTAAGTTAACAGCCAGATGAAGAGAGACACAGGGCAAGGCCCCAAATAAAGGAGCTTCTGTCCTCTTAGAACTTGGGGCCTGGCTCGGTGGCATGTGGAGGTGTTCTGGTTCCCCAAGCTTAGAAGTTCTCTCCAACCAAGAAGCAGGATCCAACTGAGCAGAGCAAGCAAAGCAGAAAGAGGGCACAAAGCTCTCCTCAGAGGTTTTTGTGAAGGATTCACTGCATAGTCATGATTGACTAAATTAGGGCCACTGGCTGATTCAGCCTCCAGTAACCAATACATGTATTTTCTATTATCTCACAAGGTCAAATAGCCCATCTTAAAAGGGTACATGCTAAGTGATTCAATTTTTCTAACATTCTATAAATGACAAAATAATAGATACACAGATTTGTGATGCCAAGGGTGAGGGTCAACGAAAGGATGTGATTAGGAGGGCGTAGCATGAGGGAGTTTGTGTTGAGAAAACATTCTGAAGTTATACTGTGGTGTCAGTCACGCAAACGTGATTAACATTTCTTAAAACATAAAAATCAATGAGTGCATAGTAAAACTAGTGAGATCCAAATAAATCCTGTAGCTATCAGCACAGTAACAATTCCACTTTCCTCCTATTTGATACAATGAACTAAGGTTCTGTAAGGTTTTACTTGGGGGAATAACTGGCCGAGGGCATTTAGGGAATCTCTGGAGAATTTGTTTTTGTCATTCTAAACTTTCTTCAATATTAAAAATTATATACTGAAGTTAACACTTAAACTTGAGACAAAAAAATTGTGTCTGTTACATAACAGGCATAGAATACTCCACTGTATATATAAAATTTAATCAGTGATAAGAGTAACTAGCACTATTTAAAATTTATAAAATGAGAAGGCAACTAGAAATATGGCTGAAGTATCCTTTCCCCAATGTCTGATGTGTTATCTGTCCAGACTTGTGACAGAATGCTCTCATTCATCATTTCCCCAAGGCTTCTTTCCTTCCGTAAATTGTCTGATATTTAGCTTAAGTCCACCACATTGAATGTGTTGATGTTATTTCTGTATGGATTCCTGGCAAATGATGATGCAATATACATTACTGAAACTCCTGCCATATCCATTGCTGTATCTCTACTGTGAACCAAAAACCACTGAGGTCTTGAGCAAAGGCTTTCCCACAGCTGTATTTCTACCAACTAGAAATATTCACTCATGGTTATGATGATAACATATGATAGGGTCTAGTTCCCACTGAAGGCCTTCCCAGTCCATCACATTCACAGGGCTTATCTCAGTATACACTTTTTAGACATATAATGTACTAAAATATTTTCAAGGCTGACTGTATGAGTTGTTTATAAGTTCTGTCAACAAAATATGAGGCAATTGATCACTAAAGACAATACCAACCTTCTTTGCATTGTTATTCTTCATTACGTATTACCTTGAGGGCTCACAACTGGCAAAAGCCTTTCCCAAAGTGACTACCTGTGAATTCTCTTATGTTTAACTAGGATTGACAAGTGCGCAAAAGCTTTCCTGCAATTGCTGCACCCATAGGGCCTCTCTCCTGTATGTTTTCTTTGATGAACATTGAGCCCTGACTTTGTGGTGAAAGCTTTTCCACATTCACTGCATCCATATGGCTTCTCTCCTGTGTGAATTCTCTGATGGGTAATGAGATCATTTTTACGCAAAGAAAATTTTCCACATTCAGCACATGCAAAGGAAGTCTTTCCTGTGTGAAACCGCTGATGTTGTATGAGGCATGTCCTCTTCCTGAAGGCTTTCCCACATTCACTGCATTTGCGTGGTTTCTCTCCAGTGTGTTTGCTGATGTATACCGAGTGCTCTTCATGGTGAAGCCCTTTCCACGCTCATTGCATATGGACGGCTTCTCCCCAGTATGTGTTCGCAGGTGTGCAATGAGCATGCTTTTTCCAGTTAAGCCTTTACCACACTCATTGCATATGTAGGGCTTCTCTCCTGTATGAGTGCGCCTATGTACATTGAGATGACTCTTTTCTGTAAAGCCTTTGCCACATTCGCTGCATATATAGGGTTTCTCTCCTGTATGAGTCCGCTGGTGTCCAATCAGCCGGATCTTTGCTGGGAAGCCTTTGCCACATTCGCTGCACACATAGGGTTTCTCTCCTGTATGAGTTCGCTGATGCACAATTAGGCGGCTTTTCACAGTGAAGCCTTTTCCACAGTCACTGCGTATGTAGGATTTCTCCGCAGTGTGAGTTCGCTGATGCACAATGAGATCACTTTTCATGGTGAAGCCTTTCCCACATACAGCGCACACATAGGGCTTCTCTCCTGTATGTGTTCGTTGATGTCTGATCAGAGGGCTCTTCAAGGTGAAGCCTTTTCCACACTCACTGCAAGTATAGGGTTTCTCTCCAGTATGAGTCCGCTGATGTATGATAAGACAGTGCTTCACTGAAAAGGCTTTTCCACATTCATTGCATGTATACAGTTTCTCTTCTGTATGAGTTTGCTGATGTGTAATAAGACTATTCTTCAGGGTGAAACCTTTCCCACATTGATTGCATATAAAGGGTTTCTCACCAGTATGAGTTCGATGATGTGCAGTAAGACGCCTCTTTTCAATGAAGCCTTTTCCACATTGGCTGCATGTATAAGGTTTTTCTCCTGTATGAGTTTTCTGATGTGTATGGAGACTAAACTTTGTAGAGAAGGCTTTCCCACATAGACTGCATCCATGGGGTTTCTCTCCTGTATGAGTTCGTTGATGATAAATGAGCCGACAATATTTGATGAATGCTTTCCCACATTCACTACATGTGTAAGGTTTCTCTCCCATACGAGTTTTTTTATGTATCTTGAACTGCGATTTCTTGAGGAAGGCTGTGTCACATTTAGGACATTCATAATGTTTCAGCCCTGCGTGAACTCGTTGATGTTCAGTGAGCCTGGATTTTCTGGAGAAGGCTTTCCCACACATACTGAATCCGTGAGGTTTCTCTCTAGTATGAACTCTGTGATATCAGTGAACTGAGAAATCCTGATGAAGGCTTTCCCACTTTTGCAGCATGTATAGGCTTTCTCTATGTTGTGAGTTCCCTGTTGCTTAGTAACCTGGGATGTATTGTGTTTTGCACTTACAGAGCATTTAATTTCAGTATAAAACTGTTCATGGTTAGCATGGAGAAGAGGTTTCCCATGTCCATGAAATTCAGCAGACTTCTCTAAGTTACAGCTTCTGTTCTGGTTTTCAAAACTTAAATCTGATTTCAAAGGTTTTTCACATGAGTCAAGCATATCACTATTTTGCTTTAAATGGAAATGACTTTTGCTGTGATTAACAATATTTGCAAACATATATTCACAGCATTCTTCCACACTCTTCTGCATGCTTTGATTTTGCAAGTGACATTGCAGAGGATCACCAAATTTCCTCATTTCTAGGAAAGAAGAGGATAATGAATCATTCTATAATCTGTCATAATCTTAGTTTGGAACAAAACTGTTTTTGAAAATGCCTTCATGTGAAGTAACTATTTAGTAATAATCCTGTGTTTGGTATAATAAAGAATATATTTGTTCTTCATCCATAGTTCTTGGCACAGAGCTAAAACCCTTTTAATTTCCTAAGTGATAAGAGAATCTTTTGTTACTCAAAACAGGCCCTTTCAGTCACACCTGAGTTTATGCCAATCATGACTTAGCTCTGGGTTCCTAACACAGCCTCAAGATAGGGCTGGTCACCAGAAAGACCGAGTGACTAGAAGGTTAGAACTTTCAGTCCCACCCACCAACCTCTGGGAAAGAAGATATATATATATGTGTGTGCGTGAATGTGTATATGTATTAAAGAATATGTGTATGTGAATAAAAACTCCTGAACAAGATCTGATCAGCTTCTGGATTGGTGAACACATCCCTGGGTCTGGAGTGTGCTACACCCAAGTTCCATGGGGACAGAAGCTCCTGGTTTGGATTCCTTCAGACTTTGCCCTATGGGCTTCTTCATTTGGGTATGCATCTATAACCTTTATAATAAATTTGTAAACATAGGTAAATGTTTTTCTGAGTTCTGTGAGTCACTCTAGCAAATTAATTGAACCCAAGGAGGGGGTCATGGGAACCACTGATTTAGCGTGTTGGCAATCTGGACTTGCAACTACTGACATCTGAAGTGAGGGCAGTCTTATGAGACTGAACCCTAAATGTGTAGGATGTGCCACTGTTTCCAGGTAGATGCGTCAGAGGGTGAGTTTAATTTGTAGAACACCCAGGTTTAATTACAGATGTAGATAACTGAAGCAAAGGAATAAAGGCAGTGACTGCAGTCCATGAAACACACTTAAAGGTGCAATGGAAATGTAAGAGTTGGAGGAAATCCAGATAGATATTTAAAGAAAAAACAACTGATGGCCTCATCAGTGAGAAGAGGTTAACGAACCCGGGGAATCAAGGATTATTCCCGGGATTATGTGGCTTGAGCCACTGGCTGGGTGGAATGCCTCTGGATGAAATGAGGACTACTATTCAAGTCCAAAATGAGAGGAGACTCTACTGTGCACTGTGAAATATGAAGTTTAAGACAATGATTATATATCCAAGTACAAACATGAAGAAACTGAATATATAAGTCTTTATAAAAGACCTGAAAATTGCCATATGGATATCATTAACATATACAAATTATTCAAACAAAGAGTACTGGATGAGACTGTTTGGAAACGTAGAATAGAAGGTGAAGGCACAGGCCAAGGCTTTAGTCATTCCAACAGGTAGTTTTTTGGAATTCAGGTAAGCCCACCCAAGGGAACCAATGTTGTAATGTTCCTTACAACAACTGTATTTGACACATTGTTTAGTTATGCTTATTACTGTTTATATAGTACTTTCACTGAGAATAAAAACCATGTGAAGAGTAGAGGCAAGGTTTCTTTTTTCTTTTTTTTTTTGTACTGCTGTTAGCTTCAAAAATATTAGCCTATTAGACTATCAAAACACAAGTTCTAAAGGAATGAGGTTATCACATTAAGTGCAGGAGGAAACCACATGTATGAACACATTTAAGTGTTTAGAAGGAGACAAAAACTTTATCATCAAGACGATGTCACCTGATGGAGATCACTGAATGAGAAACTGTAATCTCACGTGGCAGGAAACGTGGTTCACTGGGACTAAGGGTCATCAAGTAGGAAAATAATTGTATTTCTCTATCCCAGCAATAAATAATCTGAAAAGCAAGAAAGCAATCGAGAAAGTAATTCCATTTACTACATAATAAAAAGAACACCATACTTTGGAGTAAATTAAAAAAGGAGATGCAAAACATTCTGAAAGTTATAAAATGCTGTCAGAAGAAATTAAAGACCTAATTAGATAGAAAAACGTCCAATGATCATGGACCAGAATGTTTGATATGGTCGAGATGTAATTACTCCCCAAACAGACATACAGATTCAATGTTATCTCAATCAACATCTTAGCTGGCTTTTTCACAAAAATTCACAAGGTGTTTCTAAAGTTCAAATGGAAATTCAAAGGATTCAAAATAGTCAAAATAGTCTCAAAGTTGGAGAATTCACATTTTCAAATTCAAAAAACTTCCTCCAAAGCTGTAGTAATCAAGGCTACTATGAGGATATATACATATAAAATGTCCCCAAATTGATCATGGTGACAGCTGTCAACTATGTGAATACACTAAAAATGACTGAATTATATACTTTAAGTGGCTAAATTGTATGGTATGTGAATTTAATCTAAAAAAAGCCATTAAAACATAAGTGAAAACAAAAGCTCTAGGAAAAAAAATGCAGCAATAACATCTAAGAACTAAAGAAATATCTGAATTAGCAAAACTATGAAGGAAGTCATTGAAGAAGACGTAAGTTATGACCTAGTTTGGGCTGGAAATCATGGAGCACGTTACAAAGATTTTTTCCAGTTAATCCAATGAAACAGTAGAGACCTGTAAGAGGGCTCAGCATGCAGGGGACATTCAAGGTAATGCCAGGATGGACAGAATTCCAATGTGTAGTGTTGAAAAAGAATCTAAATTTTAAAAAGACTGGAGGGAAGGTGATTCCTGTTCCCACACACAAAACAGAAGGCACAGGCCAGTTGCCATGAAGAGTAAAATACATAGAAAGCAAGCATACATGTGACAGTATTAAGGCAGAAGTCAATTTGGGAGTCTCTTTCAAAGAGCGATTAACTCATGGGAATGGAGACTTAAGAGATGACCACTGAAAAGAATGAAAACAAAAGTAAGGAGAACCTTGAGGTGGGGGTGGGAGCCAGAGGAGGACAGGCCCAGTGAGAACCAGGTCCCCGCGGGGACGCATCCGAGGTGAGGCTGGGCGTTGTGGAGGGGAATCATTGTAAGAAAAAAGTGATGAACTCAAAGTTCTCTATTTTCAGAGAGGCCTGGAAAGTGGAATTTCATAGTAAGAGAGGTGGCAACCCAGGTAGGGACATAGTGACAGTGGACAAAAGAGGAAGATATGAAAACCCTAGGAATAGTAGGGATGAGGATTTAATACACGGGTAACTGTTGAACCACTGAGCACTGTCCCGAAACCAGTATAAGACTATCAACTATACTTCAACTAAAAAATAAAATCCTAGGAAGAAAGTAATCATGCAAGCAAAAAAACCCGATATATACAAGATAAAAAAATCTAAGAGGGTAATTATGCAAACAAAAACAAGATATATACAAGATATATATAGGATCAGACGTCAGAAGAGAAGAAAAGGGGGTAAATTTCCGTCCAAACTTCTACAGAGAAAGAGTTCTCACATGGCAAGAGAGATACGTGTGGGGGTCTCTGCATTTCCCCAGGTGTCCTCTCTGACCTCTGCAGCTGCCCAGCTTGCTGGTTGTGACCCACTCACCTGGACCGATTTGACTGTGAATTTCATCTTCTAATGTCCAAAGTTCCTCTCTGCGTTCCAACTTGGAGAGTGCATCTGGTTTGGAGGCTGGATACCCTGCTTGTGAAAAATGCAGAAGGCTTACACGTCTGGATCGTGCTGGGGTATGCCAAGAAGGGATGATGGTATGTATCAGGGACCCAATGGGTTTTCTATCTGTAACATCAAGGCTTTTCTCTCAGGAGAGGGGGCATTTTATCCTCTTGTCTAAGGATCTAAGAATCTGCAGTTTCAGAGCACTGCAGTTATTCTGAAGAGCTAAGCAGCTGAGAAAGAAAAGGTCGTTGACGGGGGCCCCCTGAGCGACACAGGGGTGCTGCCCTCACCCACTGACACCAGGTTCCTGTAGTTCTCCAGCATCACGTCCCGGTACAGGCCCTTCTGAGCGGGGCCAGGAGCTGCCACTCCTCCCGGCTGAAGTCCACGGCCACATCGCCGAATGTCAGGGATTCCTATTGCAACATAGTGCTGTTTAATGGTGATTCAGAAACAGGGTAAAGGAAATGATTCTGCTCATTTTTGCAATATAGGAAATTGGTGGGTTTTTTTTAACACACTGTGACAGAATAAGAATCCTAGTAAAATATTATGTCACTGTGCCGTCTTCCATTTATCCAGCGAAGTTGAAAATCCAGTTTGTGTAATATGTACCATTAAATCCTCTTGCTAATGTAGGAACACCTGCAATCTATATATAAATTTGAGCACCTATTTGCCAGTACTGAACTATATGCTACTTATAAGTAGATGAATAACACAGATTCCTAAATTTGTCATGATCGTTTGGGCCAATACCAAAACCAGTAATGAAGAGACTCCAGATGCTAGAATCGCAAGACAATACAAACTAATTTCAGTGGCTAATATATTAGGCAAAATTTAAAAAAACAGTATAAAACATGTATAAAGCACAAAAGATGGCTGAACAAATATGCAAAAAAAATCTATTCTTTACAGAATATACTTATGGGCACATAAATGTCCATATAGAGAAGTACGTATGTATGTGTGTATATCGTTAGGCAGAGTTAATCCCATATTGAGTCAATGAAGAAATAGCTGTAGGGAAGATATTTTTACATTTATGAGAAATGAGGGCAGTTAAGGACACCACCCACCACATCTCCTCTATGAAGAATCATCAAAGACCAGTGTGAATTGCACACCTGTGTGCCGTGGAACATTAACATTCCTCAAGGAACTGGTCTTTCTCCTCCCAGTTAATGCCTGAGAAATCATGAGATAAGAAATAGTTGGTCCTTCCTGATTCCTGGCACAAGAGTCCTAAAGCCCTTGGAATTTCCTAAGTGATAAAGGTGAGAGGGGCATCCTACGGTATTCATAGCAAGATCCTTTCAACTGCACCTGAGTTTCTATTAGGAGATGACTCTTCATGGGCCCCTAGATATCCTAAGGATGGGGGCTGGTTGCTAGGGAACCAACCCTGTGATTGTTTTGTTTACATGTGGGCTGATAAAATAAAACATTTAGGATGTTTGGGAAGCACACCTTTCTTTTGTAAAGTGGAAGCAATTACGATCGTGGGAGGCAGTGTGGGAAGGGAACCAGCAGAGCGTGATGGCTCAGTGGCAAGGGACCCCTCAGACCAATTTCAGGAAAGAAGACACACAGACAGGATAGACACATTGTTGTGTCCATGAACCTCCTCAAGTCGTTTTACATCCCAGGGTGCAAACACTTCAGTATGAAGAACACTGAGCTAAGCAAATAATAAGCACTGTTATAGTTAATTCTCATAACCATCCACCTCTTGATACTCTGTCAGAATACTGTAAGTATAAACCTATAAAGGATTCTCAGCAAAAATATTCTTTAGGAATAAAACTGAAGCAAAACATTTTCAAGCAAAACCAGAGAGAGTTCTAAATGAAAAGACCTGTGCAAAAGGAAAGGATCCTCCCATGCAAGCAGAGGGGCAAAGGGTGAAAAGGAAAAAAACTGGCAGATAAAAAGTTAAGTCTAAATCAGTACCAACTGGAAAAAAAATAATGATCCTATCTCTGGAGATTTTAAAAACATAAACCATTAAAATACACCATGACAGCATATAAATTAGGAGTGGGTAAACTTAGAGGTGTTCGAAGGTCTCTGTATAGAGAAGCATACGAAAGTACTGACTACCATAATACTTTGACAAATTAAGTCTGTATGTCATTTGTAATCTCTAGCGTGGGAATAAAACTAACATGTTTTAAAAACATACATAATTTCCAAGTTAGAAGACAGGGAAAATATTATGCATATGATTTATGTGGCAACTGCTCACCTCTATCACTGCACCTCAGAAGCAGCCATATTAGGAAAACAAGTAGGGGTGGTTGGGTTCCAGTGAAACTGCATTAGCAAAAACAGGCACCGGGCCAGAGTGAGTTGCAGTGCAGTTGGTGCTGGCAGCAAGATGTTATTCTGATGGCCAAACCTCAGCTTCAGTGATTTTTCCTTGGTTTTTACTTGCAGTTGTACAGGGGGTATGACCTTATTCAGTTCTCTGTAATCCACAGTCATATGCCAGGAGCCATCTGGCTTTTTTACTGGCCACACTGGGGAATTGAAAGGACTATGGGTGGGCTTTGTAATACCCACCTTTTCCAGCTCCTGGAGAGTTTCTCCAATCCCTTTATATCCTCTATATAGCGCAGTAATAGCTTATTGCCTAAAGGTGTGGAAGCGGGAGCCTAGCAACAGGCCAGTTACATCGCCAGGTGGTTTAAGTTCAGTGAAGATCCTGGCCATAGGAACCCCAATTTCCCCACACCGATACAGAGTCAATGCAACCACTATCAAAGGTACACAAAGAATTTTATAAATATTAAGAAGCTGATTCTAAAATTTACATTAAAAGGGCAAAGAACCTACACTAGCCAACCAATCGTAAAATACAATTATAAAGTTGGGAATGCTTACGCTAATCTATTTTAAGATGTACTATGAAGCCACCGTAAACAGGACAGGTACTGAATGACATGATACATACATAAATCGGAGCGCAACAGAATTAGAAGTTGAGAAATAAATACACACACGGCCAGCTGATTTTCAACAAAGTTTCAAGACAGTGCAATGCAGGAAAGGATGGTCTATTCAACAAATGGTACTGGGGCAACTGGGATATTCATTTCCCACAAACCTACACCCTTACCTCATACCATAGGCTAAAAAATTAAGTTAAAATAGATAGTAAATTTAATTGTAACAGCTAAAAACATAACATCTACTTCAAGGGAATGAGAAGACAAGTCATAGATCGTGAGCCTGGACGAGACACGCGATCACTCACAGAAGCTTTCCACCGCAGTTCTCAACCGGGTCCCACAAACAGTGATCCAAGAGGACCTCAAACCTGGCCGAGTCGGCCTCTCGCTGGTTGATGTTTTCAGACTCAGCCGCGGACTCCCAAAGGCCCCCTCACCCACGCTCAGTGACCTACACCCACCCTTCCCGCACCTCTCGTCTCACGCATCCCACAGGTCGAGCATTCAAGCCCAGAACCCGACTCACCTGACCCCGTTCCTCTCCAGACACCGCCGGCAGCGACAAAAGGCGGAGCCCACAACCGAAGCCACTTTCCATCCGCATTCCCACCTTCGCGATCGCGAGAGAAGCCGACGGGGAGGAACCCGGGAGGCCGGCGAGGACCTCCGTTCGCCGCGGGACTTCCGAGTTCCGACCGCCGGCCCCACTCTATGACGTTACGGCCCCGTCGGCCCCGCTCTATGACGCAACAAGGCCACGCCCACCCCAGCGATTCCGACGCGAGGGGTCGTAACGGCTGCGGGGAGAAACGGAAGTCCTCCTGGGCCCCCGCGGTGCTTTTACCTCCTCACAAGGGACGGTCCATAATGATGAGCTAAGCGCGTAAGACTGCGGAGGCTGGTGCCTCTTCAGCGCCACCATAGTGCGTCCTGCCGGCGGCGCGACAAGGAAGCATGGTGGCGCCTGTCGTGAACTGTCGCGCTGAGACTAGGCTGCCGTACCGTGGGCGCCGCCATCGTAGGGGAACGCAGGTGTCCGTACAGCAGAGATGGCCTCGGACCCCGGGCGACTTGGGAAGATAACGTCACTGCAGAGGCCACGGCCAGAGAAGTGAACAAAAGCAGTGATCACATGAAATGTTAGGTTTGGGGAGGGGGCAGTTCCGTGTGAAGTTATGAAGGAAGTAAGACAACCATTTAAGGGGAGAAGCCCCATTAAAAACGCTGATACCCACATGGATGTGGGTACAGCGCTCCCTCTAGTGGCGAAGGAGCTGAAGTGAAGGTGCAAATATAGGTACCGGTTTCCTCCCGAAAATAAATGAAGATGACCGAGTCATTTGAGAATATGAAATTTTGAGATAATGCAATTATCATACTTGGCATAGTTTCCACCCACCCAAAACCAATTTTAAAATGTTTTTATACAGGCATGGGAGTTTTAATCGCAGAGGATTTAAATAGATAGTCCCGTTTTAGAAGGCAACCTAGATCCAGGCTACCTGGATCCAATTTAAAGATTCCATTCTCTTTGATCCAGAAATTCTAATTTCAAGTTTATTTGGTAAAAAGTTTTCTTAAAAGTAACCACAGCGGCTTTTGTAATTTTAAAAACAAAAGAAGGAAAAACCTACAAGTACAATGATAACCTGGAAATTCATGTAACATCAGCTTGGCAGGATTGTATAGAGCATTTAAAAAGAATAAACTCCAACTTCAGTATGAGATAACCATATCCTTTAGAGGGCAAAAAAAAACAGATCTGCAGGACAGTAGAAATATTATGGGAACAAATCATAAACATTTGACTTTTCGAAAGTTGTTAAATAAAACATTTAGTTTGTATCACGTTAGGATCTGTGCTTATAGGTAAGAGAATATCAGAAGTTTTCACATTGCCAGTTTTTGCAGTTCTCCATTGTTAGTATATGTTTGTATTATAAATATGTATTACTTCAGTGTATAAAAATGTCAAGTTAGAAAGGTTTTAGAAGAATAATGTAGATGGTTATATAATAAATATATAATAGATTAGTTTCACTGTTCTTTCATAAAAGATATATGTACATACGTTCGAAAATTTGGGGAGATGAACACTGCTTGGCTCTCAGGTACAATTACAAGTGTTTTAGGATTTCTGTATTTGTTGTATTTTTCTAATTTCTATACATTGAAAATTTATTTGCATAATTTTTTTTAGAAAAAACAAGATTTGTATTTTATCTCCTTGTAAAAATATTTACACATGCAGACAAACCAGTGTCGAGAAAGTATTCGCCATCATTTAAACAAATAACCCCTTAAATAGAACAATGTCTGCAATTTTATATGTATAAAAATAAGATACATTTTTATGGCATTCACATGCCATTTCTTAAAGCAATAAACAATACACAACTATAATAAGCACAATGGAACCTGACCATTGTTTTCAATTACATACTGCAAGGGCATCATAATTTCTTACAATAAGAATATTATATCCCCTCTAGGGATTAAATTTCAGCCCCATCGACATCTGGAATGTCAGACTCTGAAAGGTGAGTTCAGCATCTGGTCCAGTGAGTTCGGGGCAGCCGAGCAGCCCATTCCGGAGCCCTGACCGGGGAGTTTCGGGAGTTGATCTGACCTCGCCAGGGCAGGGTGTGGAGATCCACAGAAGGACAAGAACAGGGATCTGCGGGCCTGGCTGGTGGAACACTCCTGTCCGATGTTTTGCTGTGGAGTATCTACCCAGGATCCATCCTGTTACAATATGCAGATGGTGAAAGGAGCACTAAATCAGGATTTAGGGCAGAGATGTTCATATTTAAGAACAGATCATAAAGATCATTTTATAAATGCAGAGTCTGAGGTTCCAGTACCAGAAGTAACCAGAGAAAACACTTAGGAACAGGTCTGGAGAGTTCTTGGCTTGCAAATATTATGCTGGCTAGCTCCCCTCAGTACACTTAGGTCTTGGTTCAAATTAACATCAGTCCGGCACAGCCTTCCTTGAAAACCCTTACTAAAACAGCGCCTCCATTACAACCTATGCACTAGGCTTCCTATTTCTTCATAGCACTCATCAGAACTTCCTGTTGTATATTTATTTTACTCAGTTCCCTTCACTATGCTGTATGCGCCGTAAAGGCCCTGGCTTTCCCTATTTTGCTCGCTGACATGTCCCTAGGGGCTGCAACAGTGCCTGGCACAGTGTAGATGCTCAAAAAACTTTACCAGAAGGAATTGTTCAATATAGCAATTGTACAACGTGACGCTGTATGGCAAATGTGCTCTCTTTTGCTAAAAGCAGGACTTAGCATCTGTAAACCAAATTGAATATTACACCGGGGGAAATGTACAAAGAAAAGGGAACAAGAGCCCTATTGCTAGCAAAACTCAGAATTTGTTGCCTGCAGACCTGCTCAAAAACAATGGATGAAGTTCTGATAAAAAGAAAACATGGTGCAATGAAGAAAAAAGAATAGTGTAAACATATCAAATATACTCGAGTTTTTCAAACTGATGGTTGAATGCAAAAACGACGACTGTACCCGATAAGGTTCTCAGTGTATGCAGAGATACTGAACATCATTCACTGTGAGGGAAATGTGAGTTAAGGCCATCATCATATACTGCCACACACCGACAGGATGGCTCGAGTCATGTATGACTGTGCCAAGGGCTACAAAGGACACAGACAGCTGGAGCGTCCATAGGCTGCGGGTGGGAATGTAAATTAGTAAAGCTGCCTGGAAAAGTTTGGCAGTTTCTTATGAACATAGACCTAACATGTGACTCCTCAATATTTATCCCAGAGAAACGAAAACTGTATTTGCACAAAATTGGGTACACAAATGTTCACAGCATTTTTATTCTTAACAGCGAAATACTGGCAACAACCCAGTCAACAGTGAACAGATGGTACATCCATACAAAAAAATACTAAGTAACAAAAGCTACTCATACAGCCAGCAAATTGGATGGATCTTAGGGCAATTTGCTGAGTGAAAAAAAGCCTATGTTAAAGGTTACACATGGTATGTATGATTCCATTGCAGTGGCATTCCTGGAATGACAAAGTCTGCTGGAGAACCGACCAGCGGTTGCCATGGGTCAGAGTTGGCAGGAGTGTGTGACTGTAAGCGGGTAGCATGAGGCTGTGGCTTTGATTTGGTGCAACAATCCTGCGTCTGGATTGTGCTGGGATTAAAGGAATCTAGATATGTGATAACATTTCTTAGAATTCTACACCAAAAAACCCCCAAAAACCTCACACAAATTAGTGCATGCAAAAACTAGTGAAATCCAAGGTCTACAGTTACTTACAGCATCATACCAATGTTACTTTATTGGTTTTGATTGTGTATTATAGTCATGTAAGATGATTTCGCTGAAAAACCTAGATAAAGGTACTAGGAACTTTGTATATTTTATAATTTCTTGTGAATCTTAAATTATTTCAAAACATTTTAGAAAAATCACATATAAAAGTGTTTTTGTCAGCTAAACTTGGATTAACACATCCAAATATGTTGAATTACATTTATGAATATATTCCTTTTTCTTTTGAAGTACATAATAGGCTGAAAAAGATGAATTTAGAGCCTAAGAAATGTAAGGGCTAATCACATAATGATACAAGATGGGCACAGTACACCCCTGCACTGTATTTAACATCAAAATTTAACCAGTGTTGAAATAGCCTACTTTAAAATTATGGAATCATTGAGAATATGGTTCAAGGTATCCTGTCCTAAAATAGACACCAGGTTACGTAAGTTTAGTTTTGTGAGAGAAAATTCAAATATACACCATTTTCACAAGGCTTCTTTCCTTGAGAATGCTCTGATATTTTGCTAATGTTACTCCACATTTAGTGTGTTCCTGTTTCTGTATGAATTAATGAGAAATGATGATGCGGAATGTATCACTGAAATCCTGTCATATTCACTGTCATCTGGAAACTTTTCTCCAACATGAGCATCAGGTAACTGTTGAGGTTTTATTTCTAGACAAAGGCTTTGCCATGACGATCATGTTGCTGCTGCGTATGATGTCAGTCATGACCTATTATGACCTCCAATGAGCCAGGATCTTCATTCCCAGAAGCTTTCCTAATCTCTCCTCTCATAAGATGTATCTTAGTATATACTTTTCAGACATTTAATTACCTAAAAATGTTTACTCAGACTTTTGTGCATTGAGTGTACCAGACTTTTTCTTCCTTATGTGTTAATTTGGACATACAATGTGAGGTAATTGATCACTGAAGGCGCTAGCACATTCTCTGCATTCACTAAATTTCACTCTTATGAAAACTGTAATTTCCCAAGGTGAAAATCTAACAACAGACTATACTGACGATATCCGAGTATGCTTGGAGCGCTCTGATGTTCAGACTGTTCACCAAACTACCATGGTTTGTCCCCTGCACAAGTTCACTTGTACGTACTGAGTTTAGATCCTCTTCAAGGGATTATGTGCCTTGATTTATACATTTCTCGTGTGTATTAACAAGGCTTGACAAATAAGAGAAAGGTTTTCCTCAATCACTGAATCCATAGGGCCTCTCTTTTTGAGTTTTTTGATGTACAGTGGGTGCTGAATTCATGTTGAAGGCTTTCTCTCCTTAATTGCATATGTAATGTTTGAATTCTCTGTAAATTCCCTGGAAGTAATGAGACTAATACTGTCTGAAGAGAATTTTCCACAGTACATATACAGGATATCTGTGTGAAATCTGATGTTGTACAAGTCCTATTTTCTTTCTGAAGATGTAACCATATTTGTTGTCTTATTAGGCTTTGTGTCCATTATGAGTTCTCTGATGTACAATGAGATTTCTCTTTGAGGAGAAGCGCTTTCCACATTCACGGCATACAAAAGGTTTCTCTCCTGTATGAGTTCGCTGATGAACAATAAGACGGCTTTTCACGGTGAAACCTTTCCCACACTCATTGCACGCATAAGGTTTCTCTCCAGTATGAATTTGCTGATGTAAAATTAGCTCAGTTTCCATGGCAAAGGCTTTACCACATTCCATGCATACGTAGGACTTCTCTCCTGTGTGAATCTGCTGATGTACGATGAGATAGCGTTTCATGGTGAAGCCTTTCCCACATTCCTTGCACATAAAGGGTTTCTCTCCAGTATGAGTGCGCTGATGTACCACAAGATTGCTCTTGAAGGCAAAACCTTTTCCACATTTAATGCATATGTAGGGTTTCTCTCCGGTATGGGTTCGCTGGTGTAAGACCAGTCCACTATTCACAATAAAGCCTTTCCCACATTCCCTGCATCTGTAGGGTTTCTCCCCAGTATGCGTTCGTTGATGCACGACCAGCCGACTCTTCAAGGGGAAGCCTTTCCCACACTCGCTGCAGATGTAGGGCTTCTCTCCAGTGTGGGTTCGCTGGTGGATGACGAGCATGCTCTTCACAGTGAAGCCTTTGCCACATTCGCTACACATGTAGGATTTCTCTACTGTATGATTTCTCTGATGTACAATGAGATTACTCTTTCTGGGAAAGCCTTTTCCACATTCATCACACACATAGGGCTTCTCTCCAGTGTGAGTTCGCTGATGCTCAACCAGACGAGATTTCATCGTGAAACCTTTCCCACATTCATTGCACATGTATGGTTTCTCTCCTGTATGATTTCGCTGATGAATGATGACATAGTGCTTTGTGGTAAAGCCTTTCCCACACTCGCTGCAGATGTAGGGCTTCTCTCCAGTGTGAGTTCGCTGATGTATGATAAGCATGCTCTTCCCAGTGAAGCCTTTCCCACATTCACTACATATGTAGCATTTCTCTCCAGTGTGACTTCGCTGGTGTACAATGAGATTACGCTTCCCTGGGAAACCTTTTCCACACTCGCTGCACACGTAGGGTTTCTCTCCAGTGTGAGTTCGCTGGTGTTCAATCAGACGGCTCTTCATGGTGAAGATTTTTCCGCAGTCATTGCATATAAAGGATTTTTCTCTTTTATGAATTCGCTGATGTTCATTGAGCCTGGACTTTCTGGAGAATACTTTTGCACACATGTTGCATCCATAAGGTTTCTCTCCTGTATGAACTCTCTCATGATCAGTGAGTTGAGACTTCTTAATAAAGGCCTTCCCACATTCACTGCATACATGGGCTTTCTCTGTGTTGTGACTTCTCTGTTGCTTAATGATGTGTGACTTACTGTTAATGGGCTTTGCACTTACAGGGAATTTAACTGCAGAATGAAAATCTTCAAGCTTACCATGCAGAAGTGACTTTCTATCTCCATTAAATTTAGCAGAGTTCTTAACCTCATAGCTTTTGGGCTTGTTAACTAAACTTAAATTTGATCTCAAAGTTTTTATGTAGATCTCAAACATATCATTATTTTTCCTGAAAGGGAAATGACTTTTGCTTTGAGAAACAATATTTCCAAATACATTGTGTTGGTGGTATTGTTCCAGACATTTCGGTGGTTGATTTTCCCAGTGATCCTGCAGACGATTATCAACTTTGCCAGTTTCTAGGAAAGAAAAGAACAATGAATCCTTACATAATCTTGTTTGGAATAAAACTGTTTTAAAAAATTCCTTGGTGTTTTTTAAAAAATGGCACTTCAGTGATGACCCTATCATAGTGCAAAAGAAATGTCCTGTATAAATGTTCCTTATTTATTACACAATAATATAAACAAACCAAAAGGAAAAAGCAGTGTACCGATAAGGGTATGCAGTTGCCAATCTATGTAGGTTTCACTGCTTTATAAATAGGACCTTGCAAAACATGAACAGACAAAATACAGGCAAGTCATTGTTAGCAGCAAAAGACGGGGTTTGGAGGAATACCTCTCTACTTGGGGTGACACCCGGTGACAGAGGTGGAAAAGACAACTGATCTAAACGATGAGGGTTGCATTCGTTCACCCCAAAGCATTTCCTGAATAGCTGCCATGTACAAGAAACTGTGCTGGTGTTTGGAATTTATAAAATGTGCCTTGCTTTCCCCGATCTTAAATCTAGTTAGGGAAAGCCAGATAAAAAAGGATAGAAAAAAAGATGGAGTTGGAGACAGTTAAATGTGATTTGAAGGAGCAATGAAGAGGGTGGGAAGTGGTGAAATCAGGATAAAGAAAAGACCAGATTAAATAATGGGTTCAACCAGGAGAGCGGGTCACTGCAAGTGGGGAAAGAGGATTACTCTGCTAACTGTGGCCTGAGCCACTGGGCAGGTAGAAGTATTACAAATTGAGATGAGGATTATTACTGAAATCCAGAACGTGTAGAAAAAAGTACTGCACTTATCCGTGTTTCCATGCTGGCTCTTCTCCTGCAGAAACCTTCTAACACTGGCTTTCACTTGGCCAACTTCAGGTCACTCTTTGGACAGCCAGCCCCGTGGCCTTCCGCATTTCCTATTTCATGCCCTCCTTCCTAATTCGTGGCATCACCTTCCTAACTCAAAACATAGGTGTCTTCACCTCATACATATGCTGTCATTCCTATTCTGAATGTACTACCGTAAGCTTTATTTTTTCTATATTTCCAAGTTAATCCCTTTATTGTTCATTTTCACAGTTACTTCAGTGAAGATTTAATCTCACCCAAAGAGAGGTCTGGCCTTTTCCCTTGGCTATGAGGGAAGTGGTTTCTAGGCCCCTGGAAGGTCCGGCCTGATCAGAGTGTCTTTGTTTGCCTGGAGGCTATGGCTATTGGACATTCTAGCAATGTGACTTATGACGGGCCATGCCATATGAGGTCCGACCTGCAGACCCCAGAGGAACTCGAGGCTGTGGGTACTAGCCGAACTTCCGGAGGGATCAGAGACTATAAAGGTCAGCCATGCAGGCAATATGTGACTGCACCCCAGTAAACATTCTCTACATGCCAAAGGCTCAAGTGAGCCTCCGTGGCTGGCAATACTCTGTGCCTCCTGTGAGACGTCGTGGCCAGGAGAGGTGATGCCAACTGTGATTCATGGAGGCACCACGTTTAGACCCATCAACTCTATACGGCCCAAGAATTCTACTCCTAGATATATATCCAAGAAAAATGAAAACATATATTCTCAAAAATGCTGTGCATGACCGTTCATAGCAGCATAATTCACAAAGCCAAAGAATGGAAATAACTCAAACGTCCATCAATAGATGGAAGTGTAAATAAAATGTGGGACATCCATGCGATGGAATATTACTTGACAATAAAAAAGAATGAAGCACTGATACAAAAACATGATACTAATTGGAAGAAGCCAGTCACAGAAGTTCACATATTTTATGAAATATCTGGAAAAGGCAAATCTACAAAGATAGAAAGCAGATCACGGGTTGTCTAGAGACG